AATCTTGTCCCCTCCTTTCCTTTTACTCTTCAGAAAACTAGGGAGGATCTCTTCCAGTGGTGGGATTCAACTTTTTTTTTACTACCGGTTCTGTGGGCGTGGCTTGGTGGGCATGGCAGGGGAAGGAGACTGTAAAATCTCCAGTCAGAGGTGGGATTTGCCCGTTCTCCAAACTACTTACAATTTCTGCTACCGGTTCTGAAGAACTGGTCAGAACCTGCTGAATACCACCTCTGGTCTCTTCTGAGATGCCTCCCATACCTTCCCTCCTTCTGTGGGCTGAGATATCTTTTACATGCTGGTTGTCCAATCTACATTTTTTCCTCCTCTCCCCCAAGGTCATTCCCACATACTAATACAGATGGACACCTGGATGGCCAATCTCCTTCTCAGGGAAGGTAGATTGTTAAAATACTATATAAAGTGAAGCATGAGAAGGTGGCTTGAGAGAATCAAAGCTTACCAGCACTTTTCCTCCCCATATGCTTTTTAAAGACGTATATATTTCTCCTGGTAGAAGAATCAGTTTAAAACAAGTACAGTAACAATTTCAGGTGGAAGTCTCCAAATAAGGTTGCTTTACTATGCTGCAGTTTAAAGAAGAACACTTGCTGCTTGAGGTATTTTAGACTAAGTGGTGCCTGTAGATTAAATCAGATTTGCACAATACACTATTATCACTGCCATCACCACTACCAATTTGTAAACTAGTATGTTATGCAAACCCAGCCACTCGGAATTATTTCTGATTCAGTCTGTTTTTCAAATCTAGGAAAATGGATTACTTATATTCAGATATGTATGGTTTGGGACATGTGTATATGAATATTGGCTTTGGTGTTGGGTATTATATTGGAAGGCAACACAGGATCAGTTGGAAATCCAGCCACCAGCCTTCTTTTGTAATCCCATTTAAAATTTCCCTCCCAGAGATTTTAGGCGTGCAATTCTTTTAAAAATTCAGATTTGAAATGGTTGCTTTGGGTTTGAAACAGCCTTCTGCAACCTTACCATGTTTCTGCTTTTGTAAAAGTTTCGTGTCCAGCAAAAAGCTCTTGTCTTAAATTTGGAGTGGGTGGTCCAAGTGTGAAACGAGGCTGTTTCAAGCTCAGAACATTCTCAGAATGGTTAGAACTTTGTTAAACATTTCTAATAAAACCAGAATATCTCTTCCAAACTCAAAACGGGTTTGAAATGTGCTTCAAATGGAAATGTTTTGAACTGAAAATGCTCTGCATGCCCCTGCTGTCTCATCTCTGCTCAAAAGCATTCAGGCAAGGGGAATCAAAAGCTTTCTCAGTAATTGGATAGAAAATAGAACCAGGAAGAACCATTATCTATATTCCTGCTATGGCACCCAACATTTGTAATCTGAAGCAAAATGTATCTCTACTATTTAGAGTGCAGTCCTGCTCTAAGTTTCTCCCTTTGGCAGAAGAAGTCAAAGTTCAGCTATGTCCCCCGCTTGGGTTATCCCACATTTCAAATGAGATGTACACTAAGTCAGGCAGAACACTTCATATGCCATAACACCAATATTTATATAAGCATTGTGCCACAAGGTGCACATATATTGGGGTCTGAGATTAAACCATGTTGCTAAAATGAGATAATATGCAAGGTTGTGTCATCATGCAAATGCCACACGTTTTTGCTTTTTGCTTTCGCATGCAAGTATATAAGTTGTGACATTTGTGTGATGATCTCATGCCACATATTCTTCCTGTGGCATGTGAAGTCCCTTTAAGGTGGCACCAAAAGTTTCCATAGGGTTATTTTCATCACCATCTTTCTGCAAAAGGTTGGATATTGCAAGTTAAATTTGATCTGGTAATTTAGATGGAGACAGCAGAAATCATTGATTTCTTTTTGTGGCTTTATTTTCTCTGAAAGTGTCTTTGCATTTCTGCAGGGTAATTTTGTTGGGTCTGAAACACAATAGGGATGCAGCCATTTATAACCACTTTTGAGGATTATGTATTGAGGAAGAGAGAGAGCCAGCAACTGAAAACATTGAACATTTTCTTACCACTTCGACAGTCTTCTATTTCTCAACTGCAGTTTGTAAGCACAGACTGTTGGATAAGTTCAGTGTGAAAAAAGTGAATTTCCTTTGAAATCTGGTATTTAACCATGCTGAGCATGATACAAAAAACTAGAGTATATTACACCCTCCCCTCAAAGCAAGTATTTTTAGTTTGGTTGGATATAATTAAGCCATCCATATAACAAGAAATGACCTCTCCTCCCTTATGGAAAATTATCCCAATGTTAGTAGCATATCTGATTCAGTCACAGGCAATGCTTCTAACGCAAAGCAAAAAGCCACCCCCCACCCCCCACTTTCCAAGTGGCAGACTTTACTTCCTTTTTTTGTTTTTTGAATACATGCCCTCTAAACTGAAAGCTCTAGGGATGTGCACCTCAAAAAGATTGAGGAGATGGTGCCAAGTATGCAAGTGAAGCCGTGCCCCTTATCAAAAGAGGCGGGGCTTTGGTTGTGCCATGATGTTTTGGACTCCCCTCCTTCCACAGATGCCCGCATAAGTAGTAATTTTCTTGTTTGCAGGCTTTTGAAAACAAACAAACAAAAAAAGATGTAGAGACTCTGGAAAGGGTACAGAGAAGAGCAACAAAGATGATTAGGGGGCTGGAGGCTAAAGCATATGAAAAACGGTTGCAGGAATTGGGTATGTCTAGCCTAGTGAAAAGAAGGACTAGGGGAGACACAATCACAATATTCCAATATTTGAGGCCCTGTCACAAAGATGAGGGGGTCAAATTATTTTCCAGAGCATCTGAAGGCAAGACAAGAAATAATGGATGGAAACAAGGAGAGAAGCAACTTACAACTAAGAGAAATTTCCTAACAGTGAGAACAATCAACCAGTGAAATGACTTTCCTTTAGAAGCTGTGGGTGCTCCATCCACAAAGGCTTTTAAGAAGGGACTGGAGAGCCATTTGTTTGAAATGGTTTAGTGTCTCCTGCTTGAGCAGGAGGTTGGACCAGATGACCTCCAAGGTCCCTTCCAACTCTGTTATTTTATGTTCTATGTTTGGATATGCATTTGATAGACCTTTTGGGTGCAGCTTTATGGAGAGCCAATAGCAAACTCATCTAGCATCAGGCTTTCCAATTTGGGAGCTCCGATATAACTACTGTCTTAAGGAATCATGGATGTATTTACGAAAAAAAGATTTACTATATGCTTATTAGTTGTAAGTTAAGACATCTGAACAGCACCAGCTGAGAAGAAAATATAAGGAAATTCAAACTGTTTCACCCTATCGCCTGTGCTCTTCTTTAGTCATTCTGAACTGTACTTTCCAAGCTGTAACAACTCAACATTTTCTACATTTCCCTCAATATCAGACAAGCCTTTTTTTTTTTTTTAATCTGAGAAACCTCCTTTCCCAACTGCTTAGTGTTTAGGGTTTTTTAAAAATTCTATTTATTTTTAATTTGGCTGCCTGGTCTCATGGAGAGATTGATGTGATTGATAGATAGTACTGGGAGGGAGAGAGAAGCTTAGTTTTAATTATTTTGTTATGTGCATGCAGCACATACTTTTTCAAAAAGTGAAATTTCGTTTTTTTTTAAAAAAAAAGATCATTATTAGGCACATAGTACTGAAATAGTCTGAGAAGCAGCCACTTCAAAATGTCAGGAGAATGAGAGTAAGAAGTGGAGAGTGAATAAAGGATAATGTTATCTCTCTAACTATATCGTGTAAACCATTTGGTCAGATCAACAGAAAATTTACATAGCAAAAACAAGGCACTAGCTCTTCACAGCTTACCATCAAGAAACTAATTCCCCTGGAACCTTCTACCGGGAAATATCCTGTATTACAGTATAAACCTTATTAATATCATTACAATTAATAAAATATCTTGATTTGTTTTTTGCACAATTTGAAGCAATTCACTAAAGTTCAGTAACTAAGATTTTTCTGGAAATGTCCCTTTTAGAGATTTGTATAAACACTATATTCCTGTAAATATAAACCTCTTTTACAATCCCTATGAATATTGTAAGAATATGTTAGGATTATAAATATACTAATATACTAATCCTAATATCAGATTGCTATGTCATAAATTCCATCCCAATTACCTTGCAAAATTTCTCAGAGTGAATTTTAATAGATCTTTCCTGGAAGATCTGAAGGGCCAATTTGGAGACAATTCATCCTGAAGAAAGGCAATTCATCCTGAAGATCATTAAGAACTTTTTGTTTGTTTATTTTTTAAAATTTTGATGCTACCTGTCTCCTCTATAAGATGACTCTGGACTGATGCTAACTTGATGGCATATAATCAATCATAAAACCTCATTATATTATGAATATTCACAAAGCATGTAATATTACTGTTTGCACTGAGTTGTGCCTATTTTCAATATGTAACTTTTGAGAATTGAATATGATAGAATTTGATAGATGGTAGCTAAAACTAATTAGCTTTTGACTGTATTTCAGAGTATGACAGACATGCAATCTTATTTAGCAGTTCACTGCATTTGATCCTTGCATAAAATGATGGATTGCATGTCACAATGGGCAGCCTCTCAGGGTTCACATTTGACCATCATCAAAAGAAAACTCTCTTATTTGGTGCCTTGGTGTCAGTTTTTGATGATAAGTCCCTGTGGTTTTCTAACAAGATTTTCATAAGTAGTATACCCTTGCCTGCTTTCCCAGGGCTGAGAGAGAGAAAACTAATCTTAAAGTCACCCAGCTGGCTTTGAATTTAAGATGGGACCAGAACTCACATCACCTTGTTTCTGGCCTACTGCCTTAATCACTACATCAAACTGATTCTTAGTTGCTAATAAATCTCTACATTGTGCTGCACAGAAACGGTAGTGGGATGATTGTATATTTCAAATGGAAATGGAACTTTTGGCAAAAATATTTGTTGTGATTGAATCAAAGGGGTCAGGCAAATAGTAACTTCTGGACAGAATCTAATTCTTTGTGTTGATATACCTTCCTAGCTCTCTGTTTGATACCAAACGTGTACAAAGTGAACATGTCCACGGAAAAGGCTATCAGAGAAGATCAGGTGGAGATTTTGGAGTACAACTTCACCAGAATCAGCAAGAACCCTGACCGTGCCACCCTTGACCTCATTGCTGCTGAGGCAGGGCTATCCGTAGAAGAGGTTCTAGTAAGTAGCCATGTCTTTAAGTTCAAATACAGTCATTTGCACCTTGAGGTACTCCATTTCTGGACCACCTTTCTTCCATGTACCACTTCCCAATAAATTATTCCTTCTCATCTCCTCCCAACATTTGTCAGGACTAAAGGGTGCCCCACCATTCTAGAACATACTGGAGGGGAATGAGAATCAGCCTATAATCCTCTCTGTGGAATCAAAACCTGCTTACTGGTAGAAGGAGATCACCTCTCTGTGGGATGTTTATGGTGGGACCAACCCTTATGCCATTTGAGTCTCCTGTTCCACAGTGGATCAGGAATGGAGTGGTAGAATACTGTTGAGGTGGTAGAATGAATCACAGTATATTCGGCTATAGATAAGAAACCTCAGTCTTCTCCGTTTTTTTTTTAACTAATTCATCTTCCCTCAATACACAAAACAGATAGGAATAAAAGGATGCCAATGCACCTTGCTTCTTTCTCCTGATTCATATATATTACGGCTGCTGTGTCTTAAGATCATGTGGTCACCTTTTGTGACCGTCTGACAAACAAAGTCAATGAGGAAGCCAGATTCACTTAACAACCAGGTTACTAACTTAACAATTCCAGTGATTCCCTTAACAACTGAGGCAAGAAAGGTCATAAAATGGAGGCAAAAACTCCTTAACAAATGTCTCAGTTCACAACAGTTGAGGTCAATTGTGGTTGTAAGTTGAGGACTACCTGAAGCCCACTGTCCTCTTTACTCAATGAGCAACGTTCCTTTGTTTCTCTAGGAATGGTTCAAGAAGCGCCTGGGAGAGTGGAGGAAATCGGAAGGGCTTCCTTCAGAATCCAGGTCTGTCAGAGATTGACTAAAGCCTCCCCTTTCGGAGACATCCCTGGAAAATGGACAGCACCTCAGTTATTGCTTTCTCTGTGGAATGTTCCTGTCAAAAATATTTTTTCCTATTATTTAACCTACTGCTTATTTAAAATGTATATACTATAGGTGGAAAATAAGTATATGAAATTATGCTGATTGTAATGTTGATGTTTATGAAACTTACAAGGAAAAGTCTACACACTGTGCCTATTGCAAATACAGTGATAACTTAATGGAGTGGGTCTGGTTTAATATTTCCATTAATTCCAGTAAAATTAATAGGAAGGAGCAATAGATTGGAATATGCTTTTCTTACCTACTATACTCTGAGAAATAGCTTCAGCACCAGAGTCCAGGAAAGCAATATCTAGAATCCATTAGCATCACATAGAAACTAGATTTATAAAGAAGAAGTTTGGGCATGATCAATCATGTGGTGTTTGTGAAGGCCTTCATCTGCACACAAACAAGAGAACAAGCTCCATCTTGCCTGAGACCATATTCAGCTCCTATGTACACAGAAAACTCACACAATCCATGGTGAATTCAGGGCACACATACCAATGAACACTGTGAAAGAACCTTCTGCAATCTTGAGTGGTGTATAGTATCATGAGTCCTGCTAGTGCAGCTTGGTTATAGTCAGATCATGTAAAAATCCAGCTAGCCAGCAAGTGAAGTAGAGGTAGTTCTTGACTTACAATCTTTCGTTTAGTGACTGTTTAAAGTTATGACGGCACTAAAGAAAGTGATTTATGATCATTTTTCACACTTATGCCTGTTGCAGTACTGCATGGACACTTGGCAACTGGCTCATGTTTATGATGGTTGCTGTGTCCCAGGGTCATGTGATTACCTTTTGTGACCTTCTGATGAACAAAGTCAAAAGGGAAGCCAGATTCATTTTGCAACCATGTTAATAACTTAACAATTACAGGGATTCTCTTAACAATGGTGGCAAGAAAGATCATAAAATAGGGTAAAACCTATTTTACAATTGTCTCACTTAGCAACTAGAAATTTCAACTGTGTGCATCTGACTGATTTCATACTCTATTATCTCTGAAAAGGCCCACACAAAATCTATAGAGATAAGAATTTGTTTCTTCATCACAGTTGCACAATGCGTTCAATTTTATGTGCAGGATCTGTCGCAACCACAACTACGTGTCGCCTTTTTTCAAGTGGAGCATGAAAGCAAGGGCATCACGTTCAAAGTATAGGTCAACAGATGAAGTGATCGTAGGAATTAGCCATTAATCCTGCCTTGATCATTCAAAGCAGCCAAACAAACCAGTTAAAATAGAACCTCAAGGTTTTAGTGGTTCACCTACATTACTGAGTGATTGATTTCAGTGGGCAGTACAATGAGGAGAAGAGGGGAAGTTAAAGCAAGAAGTGGGGGCCGAGAGAAGTATTCAGTGCTGACAGAAAATATATCATTATACTTATAATTCTCCGAGAAGTCGATGAAGTTCAAAAGCATTCAGAGGTGCACATCAGGAATTCTGATGACTTCAAACCTGGAATGTTGAAATGGGTGGATTGCGGGTTTGACCCATCCTTCCAGCCAAAATGAGAACAATGTGTAATAAATTATTTCAATAAGTATATTGAAGAAGTATCTAAGTTTAGAAGCACACATGTTAACTGTGAATTATTTTTGGGAAAAGAATCTAAAAGGGGCAGCATTATGTCAATCAGTTATGGAAAACTAGCAAACCATATAACAAAGAACAGAATCAGAAGAGCACATATGAAGGTCTATCGTTCAGCAGAGAAGGTCTCCATGTAGGCCCAAAGTCTGTCAGGCTGCTGACATCTCCAAATGAATCCCTATTTGCCATTTCGGAGAATTGCTGCTGTTTTGTTTTGTTTTAGATAAGAAACGGCTAGATAAACCAGACTGACTTTATATGCCCACTTCCTGTTTTGCAAAAACAGGAAAAACGCGAAGCTGTTTTGACATTTCTTCACAACTGTGGATTTTTATAAGGAGATGATGTTTTGCCCACATAAAGAAATCTGTTGGGACGTTATGAAACTCTTGATGAAACAGTGCATTTCAGTGAAGAAGCTCTCACATTATGTCATGAGTATTTCTAATATTGCTCGCTGTCTGAATGAAATAGAGCCCAGTGGATCAAAAGTTCAGAAGTAGCCTCCTTTTAGTTGAACTCAGCTATTTGTGACCTAAAGCGAGCACTTCTGCATGTTCCCTGACAGAAGAGGGTTGCCTCTGTCTTTGTTCAAGAACTCTTTTTTTGACCTCCAAATCTAATCTAGAGCCTGAGGATTTCTGATCTTTCACAAGACCATCTATGAGATTGTCATATCATTTCCATGTATGAATAGACCAACTTAGGCTTTGGGGATCAGTCAAGGACAAGTGAGCATTTAGGTGTATTATTTTAAGTTAAACTTTCATAGTCAGATGTTGGCCAGATGCATTAAACTGCAATTCTCATCTGTTGGATATTCCCTAGAGAATATGAATATTATTAATAAGGCATTGCTTCATTCACATAACAAAGAACATGCACTAACAAATTCTTAGGAAGTGGTGTAGTTGGGCCATAAGGTGGTTACTTGCTTTCATCATGGCTAGTTCCTTCAGGTGAGTCAGGTAAGAACTGGCTTTTTTCTCCAGGCCTTGGTGTGGGTATATCAACTATGGGATTGGTTTTGCACATTTATGGTCTATGTACTGTATGTTCTCCATTAGGAACATCTTTTTGAGGGATGGGAATGTTATTCTATTGAATTGGATTGTTGTTTGAAACCTTGTATGCCACCCAGAGTCAGTGATTAATTGGAGAATCATGAGCTGGGCCATTTATAAATAAGCTAATAAATAACAATACAACCTTCATTGTTGTTGTTTGATCTTATGGCAGGAGCTCAATAATTGTATGTTTTGTTCTTCCAGGTTATGACTCATCCCAAGGTCCTGAGTTATTGTCAGCCCTTTGAGGTTGACTAGACTTGAACTCCAATATCATGAATGCTACTGTTATTATAGAGTTACAACAATAGAATTTTGCACCTCTGAATGTGCCCCACCCCTCTCTGCCTCTATCCTAAAGAGAACTAGGGAGGGTCAAATTTTCTCAAATTCCATTTCTGCCCTGGCCATTGGCTTGGCTGCAGCTCTTTTTCCTGTTCCTCAAGGTTATTCTTACAGTTTATTACAGTTATCTTTCTCTAAGGAACTCTCTTCAGCCATGGGTTTTATTCTCTTGAACCAACTATATCCTTTTCTGGGAAATTTCCCAGAGGTTAGGTCATCCTATTGCTAACAATCCGAGACAAAAACCTTTACTTCTCTGCTAGTGACCTGAAATCTCCTGTCCAATTGCATTAGCTGTCCATTTATTTCATATAACTTCCTAAGAAGTATTCCATATTTTGGCTCCTGCATCAGCCTTGACTTGAGCCTTTGAGTGGCTGAAGATGCAAAGTTCTCTCCTTCTTATGCTGAGAGTTTATGTTCTGTAGCTGTTCTTGAGAAAGTATTAGCTGTTCTGATTCAAAACTCGTGCTTTTTTTCTTCAAGTCTTTTGACTCGGAGTATTGCAGTACAATCATCGGTGCTGTTCATAGATTCCAGGTTCTCTTTTGACTGCTGCTGCAAGACAACCATGCTTGCTTCAATCTCGCCAGCTCAGAGAATATGGAGTATAATCTTGAATTGCTCCATGACTGTTGTTACATATATAGTCTAGCTCAACATGGTTAAGGATCATAAGCAGAGGTGGTATTCAGCAGGTTCTGACCAGTTCTGGAGAACCGGTAGCGGAAATTTTGAGTAGTTTGGAGAACCGGCAAATACCACTTCTGACTGGACATTTTACAGTATCCTTCCCCTGCCGCACCCATCAAGCCATGTCCACAAGACCAGTAGTAAAATGTTTTGAATCCCACCACTGATCATAAGGTTGGGAAATTAATATAGTTTACAATCCCAGACAACACAGCACAGAAAAATAGTGAATTGGATGTCAGGAACTCTTTTCTCTGTTCTTCTACAAGAATGCCTATTGTGTAGGCAAATCTCCCTTTTGCTACAACTTTAAAAGCACAACTACAATGACGTGGGAAAATACCCGAACAAAGCTGAATACCATACATGTAAGTACCCACGAAAACTTAAGAAAACAAATCTCCCTTTCTTTCCATTCACCAGAGCAAACCTGGAAATTATTCAGACTTGGTAATTATGAGTTCAGTATATCATAGCTACTTTTCCATAGCACTTGAGAAATTGTTAATAGTGTTGCAAACACTGGGGAACATGAGAAATGTAGATAACCAAACTCCATTCCATGTATGAAAATGATGGATGAGATGGAAAGAGGAGGTATTTTTCTGTACTGCTGCTGTTGCCATATCCAGAGGCAATTCAGCAGGGATGAATGAGAGGAAGGGCATCATCTTCATAATAATACATTCCATGCTACACGGTAACATTACCAGCATGCTAAATCATTATTCCAAACCAGGAGGTTGCAGGGAGAGAGAATATGAAATGTCCAACCTGTTTTGTGCCTTCCAGATTGGGGAGTGTGTGGGGGTAGTTGCCTAATAAGCACTTGAGAGTGATGAAGGCAAGGCCTTTCCAAAAGTTGTGTATTATTTCAGTTGCATCATACGGATTTAACACCGATACTAGGCATTTCATGCAGCTGCTGTATGAGGTTATAGGTATGTGCTCTTAATCCAAAGAATGCAAATAATATTAAATATAATGTGTTACTGGAGAAGAAAATCAAGTTTGAGTTGTCAAGTTCAGTAGCAATAAAATCATGTGGAAAATGGTGGAGTTCCATTTAGAACTTTGGAAATGCCTAGAATCTTTTGGTTCTACACAATAGACAGTTTTGCTTCTTCGGTACGTAAGTTTAGTAAACCGACATCTTTTTGTAAGGAGGAAACAGAATTACACACATTTATAATTATTTAATTGGCTTATGGTTTATACAATGAGAGTCAGTTCATTGTGGTTAAAACATCAGACTAGAAACCAGAGGACTGTGAATTCTAGTTCTAGTCTTAGGAACAAAGCCAGATGGGTAATCTTGGGCCAGTCACTTTATGTCATCCCTAGAAATGAGGCAATGGTGAAACACTTCTGAAACACCTTACCTAGAAAATTGCAGGGAGTTGTCTAGATAAGTGTCTGAGAATCAGACACATTTTAATAGAAGAAAAAAGAAGTACCCAATACTTCGGAACTAAATCTTACCACTTTTTCCATCCTCATTGTGAATTATATTGCTGATACTTCCAGTATCTAGTGCTATCCAGATCCCTTCAATTGTGAATGTTGCTGCATTGGGTGAAAACTATCTCTAGATGTCTCCAGAATAGGCACCCACCCTTAGTTCCTGAGGAGCAGAAAATGTTAGTTCCATACAAGCCCAAAGTAAAGGCAAGCTTTTCAGAGTTTCTGGCATGGGCTCTGGATTTAATTTTTTATTATACTGTTTCATTATTTCTGTTCTAAGGATATTACCATTTTGTTTATGCACTTTTTATGGCATCATTTGTAATTCAGTTTTTCTTTTATTGTTGCTTTGTTTTTTGCTGTATATTGATTATTTATGTAGACTTAAATTTTATTATTAGCTGTTATGACCGCTATGTGATGACATTCGAACAGGAGAAACTATAAATCAAACATTAATATCTAAAAGTCAGGTTCCTGCTTAAACATGACTAATTGTGTTGTTAGTTCAGCTGATTATTATTAGCTGATTATTGTTAGTTCAGATGTTATTAAGCACTTGTGGAAGTCAAAACACGACAGTACAAGAAGCACACCGCTATAATTCCTTTACTTTATTGAAAATGCCACATAGAGTTAGATGTGCGTGATAAGCGTGATCAACGAGTAATTGGTTGTGCTAAGGTCTTGACTCTTTCTGTACAAAGTGCTTTCTTAGCAGACTCCTTTACAATAAAGGCATCTGGATTAAACTGCACGAGATTCGTTGGAGCCCTGACAAAAAAATATATATGAAAAGAGTCGTTAGCTTCAATGCTGCTCCTTTTTATAAAGCTCTCTGCAAGATTAACAAAGAAATCCAACTCCAGAGTTTCACATGGATGGGGGAAAAAATAACACTGCTAAGATCTGTGCTGTTTTCCTGACAGAGAAGTGTTCTGTCAGTAGGATAATAAACCTCACTGGATAGGTTCTAATCTTTCTAAAATTCTGTTAACCAGTCGAAAAAACATATGTCATGCTTTCACAACACAAATTTGTTTGCACTTGTGTCCTGATGTTGTTGTATGTAAGTCATGAGGTTTGCGCTGTCATAAGTCATAACATATGTTTTGTTACTAGCTTCTTGTCCCTATTATTATGATACCACTGTGATAACACCTATGTTTTCTGCTGCTTTTTAAAATCCCATTGGCTTCAGCAGAAGAAAAAATTAATAGAAAAAAATGATACTCTGCGGTAAAACAGTGAAAAAGTTGTCTGTCTCTCCATCTATATATGCAGGGAAGTGAATGTATTTCCATCAACAATCCAATTCAGGAGGGCTCTTCATTCTCAGCAAGCTCAATGGTTCCCACTGAAGTCATTGGAATGAACACTAGTTACCTACCAAGCAAATGACTGAAGAAAATACAATTTGCAAAAAGATACTAGTGCAGTAGCTATGGATGACATAGCGGGGAAAAAAAGGCACTTTGGGCATTTATGAAAGGCAAGCAATGGCACCAATTGCCATGGTCTCCGTATGCAGAGAGAGATCCATTTCAAAGGATTGCCGAGTTCTTCAAATAAAGGAAATATACAAATATTTTTTTCAACTTTCCTCAGACATTTTTCTTTACTAATTTTAGTGGACAAAACAATGGAAAGAATAAGACACTGGCATGAGATGCAATGCATGCTGAGAGGGTCCTTCTGCCCTTAGGTCTCTCAGAGCCTTCAAAAGTTATCTACAGGCCGAGATCCTTTCCCTCAATTGGAGAGTTGGCGAGCCCATCAATACAGCCATCAGATCATCTGGGAAACCCCACCTGTTGGGAGGCTGAGAGAGTTCCGTGATTCGAGGAGAGGCTACTGCCTGCTTGGCTGCTGCTGACACAGGCCACTCAGGGGAACGATACAGGGCCCCCTCGCAAGGGATTACTTTTGGTCTAGCTAGTTCAAGTAGCCTTGGAGTTGGGACTGCTTGCAGAGCAGTCAGGGGTATCTGCAGAAGAACAGAAGTGCTGATTTTTGAACATGAGATTTATTCCAGAACATTTTGGAAAAAGCTAAGATACAAGATAAACCCATCCCCAAAGGATTAGGAGCTACGGATTTCTCCCCTTCCCTCAATAATCTCTGAAATCTAAGTAGAGGCAAAGCTTATGGCAGGATTTTGAAGGGAGGAGAATGAGTGTGACAGGCCCCAATAACAGCAGAATATAGGATTCGGTCAACCCCTGAGAAGAATAGAATCACTTCAGAAAGATCTGCTGACTGTCCAGAAAGAAATGGATGATCTTCTTAAGTCACATTCCGCAGAGGAAGGAATTAAGTCAAGATTGCTTTGGGAACAGGGTAGAAGACCTTGGTGGTGATCCATCTTGTGGGCATGACAGGAGAATAACAGAATAACTGAGTTGGAAGGGACCTTGGAGATCTAGTCCAACATCCTGCTCAAGTATTTATTTATTTATTTATTTTATTTATTTATTTATTTGATTTGTAAGTAGGAGACCTTATATCGGGGAAATCAGAAGATTCAGGCAGTTCAAATAGGTATCAAGTTTTATTGCAAGCTTAAGCTCTCTCTACAAGAATCTGAGCTACTAACAGTTAAGGGAAATTTGTGGGAGTTAAGGACAGAAAGGAATTCAAGGGAAGCTGGACTTAGATCTCTTGCGGCTGTGCAGTGGACATGTGACTTATGACACGTTGGACCCTTCCCTCGGGCTCAGCCTGGCCATCTCCTACAATATCATTTCAGACAAATGGTATAGGGTCTCACCTATAAAAGGTGCTCACTTGGATGCTGCTTATTGAGCATTTACAGGAGCATCAGTGATCAGGGGAAGGTGCCAGTAGCATGAGAAACACCACTGAGAGGTGATCCGAATAGGAAGGCATTGACAATGACACTGAACTGGGCACGGAGGGAGGAGGAACTGATTATGTACTGGTAGCTACCTTCTTTGGTGGCAGCAGCCAGTGAGAAGTGGAAAAGGACAGAGGGTGTGCTCAGTCATACGATGGATGGAAATCTGGGGAATTATATTGAGGTGTATTATACTGAGGTTTTTTTTAACAAATTTATCCTATGCATACAATGATAAACATTCATCCCTAGCTCACTTCAATATTAAAGGGGTCAAGCTTCATACCTGAGCTCAGCAGTAAATCATAACTCTTTAGACTTTTGACCCTTTATTCAGCCCTTGGATTGACTTGATAGAAGATTCCCAAGCATAATTCAGCTAAATTAGAATATTTTATTGCAAACAAGAATAAGCCTTAGGCAAAATAGATTGCCTACTACAATACCAAGAAACAGAAATTGGGGCCTTTATATATGATATCTATGATCAGATCAGATCTATGCTCTGATCTTTAAACAGTATTTCCGGTCAACAAATACCAGCAAGTTTCTTGATGGCTTGGGAAGTTGTTGAGACCTATTTACATGATGGTTCTTTCCAGCTGGATAATCGCTTGATCCCACCTTGCAATCCTATCCATTATATCAACACAGAAGTATCAAAGTAAATTTTAAAATAAATACTTGGCGGATTGGGACCTCCAGGCTTGTATTTTCATAGAACTGCATTTGTTTCCTAACTACTGGCTGGGCAAGTTGCTGTAATCTTGGGGTAGTTTCAGCTCTTCTTGCAGCCTTTGAAATCACTCTTTCAGACTAGATAGGAAAAATAAACCAACAATAAAGCAAATTTGATTACAAAACCAACCAACCAACCAAAAGAAATATGGTCAGGTGCCAAGAAAAACACATTTATTTCTCCCCCAGCAATATTTCCCAAGGATCCTTTGGAAGAGGAAAGAGCAGGCTGGATATATACTTCTTATTTAGTCTCAACTCAAGCTGATGCATCTTTAATCTTTACATAGGAGACCAAAAAGGACCTGTACAGCCAAAAGTTATGATACACAAGGAAATCTGCTTATTTGCTCATTCCAATTTTGGGAGAGCAATGTGTTCTGATCAGAGATAGCATTTTGTCTTGAGTACATGAGGGGGTAAAACTCTCATTCCCATATGAGAGTGCAGGTAAGTCCACCCTCAGGAACCAAGACTTGGAAACCTACATGTCAAACTGTACAATTCTGTTTCATAGCCCCAGCTCTGAAAAATGAAAATTTACAGACCAGCAAATTTCTATTTTACCTCAAGGGCTGGTCATCTGGGACATGGCCCATCTGGAAAACACATAATGCTAACGTACAGTCCAAACCCAGAAGATCATAGGCAAATGTACCTACATATTTGATATAAATGTGTTTCCCACAAGGATAATTGTGTCAGAGTTCTGGGGTAAAGATTGCCTTCGGCTTTCTTCCCTCCTCTCTCCCAGCCTTATGATCAGTTTTGCAACTCACAGTTATGTTATTTGGGCAGAAAAGCAAATTACTTTTCTGGCCCTACAGCTCCAAGCATTCTTAGCGATTCCCATAGAGAATTGTGAAATGCCTCAGTAATCTCATGTTTTCCCCCCAATATTCTCCTCACTAGTGCCAGCATCCTAGTGCAGATCCTTAGTCCTTCAATTTCTTCTTCAACCTTCTCCTATCGTTCATCAGGTCTTTCCCACTATCATTTTTCTAATTTAAGTCTTTTTGCAGAAAAAAAAATCACAATCCTTTCCTAGCAAAAACTAAAGGACACAAGATGATAGGTAAATACAGTTCAAGGGTAGGTTCATCATTACAGCAGGAGCTAGAAAAATGTGGAATAGACAACATCACCACCAGATAGATTTGTAGCTGGCTGGCAAACTGTACTCAACAAGTAGTCCTTAATGGTACTACATACATATGAAGAGAAGTAAGTACTGGGGTACCACAAGGCTCCGTCTTAGGGCCAGTACTCTTCAATATCTTCATAAATGATTTAAATAAGGGAATGGAAGGGGAAATCATCAAATTTGCAGATGACACTAAACTGGCAGGAATAGTCAACACCCCAGAACACAAGCTCAGGATCCAAATAGATCTTGACAGACTTGAACAATGGGCCCTATCCAACAAATGAAATTTAATGTGGAGAAAAGCAAAGTTTTACATTTAGGCAGGAAAAAAAAAACAAAGATAGAAGTACAGATTAGGCGAAATCTGGCACAAAAACAGTGAGAGGGACATTGAGACCTAGTGGATGTTCGCTTGAATATGAACCAGCAGTGTGCACCAGTAGCCAAAAAAGCCAATACAATCCTGGGTTGTATAAACAGAGGCATAGAATCAAGATCACGTGAAGTATTACTACCGCTTTATAAAACTCTAGTAAGACCACACTTGGAATACTGCAACCAATTTTAGTCACAATACTACAAAAAAGATGTTGAGACTTTGGAAAAAGTTCAGAGAAGAGCAACTAAGATGATCAAAGGCTTGGAGACTAAAACATATGAAGAATGGCTGCAGGATTTGGGTTTGACTAGTCTAAAGAAAAGAAGAATTAGGGGTGACATGATAGCCATATTCCAGTACTTGAGGGGCTGCCACAAAGAAGAGGGGGTCAAGGACAAGAAACAATGGTTGGAAACTAATCAAAGAGAGAAGCAACCTGGAATTAAACTTCCTAACAGTGAGAACAATTAACCAGTGGAACAGCTTGCCTCCAGAAATCATGGACACTCCATCACTGGATGTTTTTTAAGAAGAGTCTAAACCAGGGTTGTGAAACTCAATTTCATTGAGAGCTGCATCAGGGTTGTGTTTGACCTCGAGGGGCCGGGGTGGGTGTCACCAGGGTGGGCATGACCAGCTCAATGTCACTCGTGTCATGGCCACCTATGGAGGCCCAAGAGCTCTGCCAGTGAAAATGGGTTCCCGAGCTCCGTTTTCAGCTGCAATGGCCTCCTGCAACCCTCTGCCAGTGAAAACAGAGCTTGGGAGGCCACCTGTGGCCCTCCCAAGCTCCATTTTTGCTGGCAGAAGCACCATGGGTTGGTCCTTCTCTGTTTCCAGGGTGGCCCAGTTAGAGATTTGCTTTGCAGCATATTAAAAATCAAAAAGAGGGTTTTTTTTTGAACAATGAAAATTATATTGTCCTCTCAAAAGAGAGCCAACACGTTTTACAATGCAAACTATGTCATGAATCATGAGAGAAGATTTGAAAAATCCCTTTTTTAAATGCAAAGTACATAATACATAGCCAAAGGCTGAGGTAGTACGAAATATTTTGTCAGCTTGCTGAAACAACAGGCTCTTCAGTGTGAATCAGGAGCAAGAAGGCTCAGCGAAGATAGAGTAGACTAAGGATAGAAAACCTTTGGCCTACAAATCAACTTCATCGGGTATTTCATCCATCCTAGGTATGGGAGGATCTCTGGGAGTTTGTGCTTAAAACACTCTTTAGTACTTTGCCACCTTCTCTCTAGAAGGAAAGGCTTTGGAGGTCAGATTTTAAGTTTAGTCTCTGTCGCATCTTCTGGGTAGTTACTTCCAATCAATGGCCTGCAAACCTACTCTGTCAACAATATTTCTGATCCTGAACCTCTTATTTCTTCTTTTTGAAACAAATGGTTATATATGTATGTATATATGAAACAAATAATGGTAGCTAATTTTAAAATTGATTTAGTGCAACCTGCAGCTTTCTAATTATTTATAAACCTTCTAGCACATGATATTTTAAGGACTTCTCTCCTTGGCAATTTTCATGAAAGGATTACTATGCTTGTCTAGGCTTTTATGAAGTACATGCCCAAAACAAAACTGGCTTCCAAAGTAATCTAATGTACAGTCTACAAATAATAATTCAAGCATATGACCATTAAGGTCCCTAAAGTTAAAAATAAGTTAAAGATACCCTGAATAGAGATGTATATTAATTTCTCAGCAAAATGCTCCATCTGGTGTTGGATTTTCAGGATATTGTACTTTTTCCCTCTGCAGTATAGGATTTACATGGCCCTTCCTTTGCTTCCATACAGAAGGAAAATCAACCCCGCCTTTAACGTTTATTCATTATCATAGTTCTCATTATCAAGAAGCTCTGCGGCCAATGGAAGGGTTCCATTTCCCACAAGAGCGAATTGGTGCTCTTGTTCAATGCCTTCTTCTTGTGGTTCGCCGGCAGCCTGTCCAGATGGGAGCAGAATCGGATAGTGGGGAAGAACAGAGACCAGTCTGGGAGTCTGGAGAGGACTCGGATGAGGGTCCTGCATCCGATGCAGAGATGGGGCCAGGGCCACCTGGGTATGGGGTGCTGACTCCGGAACCTCTGCAGTCTGAGAGCAGCGAGGCCGAGGAACAAGGGGAGCCTGTTCCCAGTGCGCATGTGCGCAGAACTGCTAGAAGGCAAGAGCAGCTGAGACAAAAGGGGTGACTTAGGAGTAAGGCTGGGAGGTGATTGCCCCTCCCATAAGATATAAGGGACAGGCAAAGGTGACGAAACCTTTGTTGGAAGCAAAGTTGTTCGTTCTGTTCGGATTAATCCTTGAAGCTCTGTGTAGACTTTGTACTTTGGTTGGTTTTTTTATAATTCATTTGGCACTCTAGTTGTTGGCAGCAATTCAAAGGAAAGAAAGGTGGGTGCTTATCTCGAAGGGACTGTTTGGGACTCATTACTGGCTGGGAATGAAAATAATTCCCAGAGTGAAAATAAAACAAGAGTTGTTTTAATTAAGCATGTGCTTAATTACGGTCTCGGGAAGCCTTGGTCAGAACACTTCTGGACAGAGTAAAAGCTAGACTGAAGAACATGTAGTCTAGGAAAACCATAACCATTTAGCTGCAGCTATTATTGTTCCTGCAGTGTAGAATCTAAAGTGCTGCACATCCTCAAGAGGAAGGGTGAGGCAGAAGAAGCCATTTAAAAAAACAATTTCCCCCCAGCCTTAGCAATAGATCAAAGTTTGTAGGTCTATGAGCAGTAGCTTCTTTCTTCAATGCCATGGATGGGGGTAAAAACAGCTGTCTTTGGTACTGAAGGCCAAATCTGATTCTAGGCTCATGCCTCGGCATCCATATTTTTATAGTAGAAAGTCCACACCGTTGGTATGACAAAATCCATGTTGTGCAGCTTTCATGCCCTTGGTGCTTCAGGCATTGCCAACTCTCAACACAACAGAAAATGGTTCTTCTCAGCTCCCTTTTTCTCATGATGTCCCTTCCCCCCTACCCCGCAAAAAAAGCAAAAGGCCCAGCCAGGTGCTTTCCTGACATTCTTGAGAACCGGGTTCAAAAAAACCCATCCACCCAAAGCATCTTTCTCGCCACATCTCCAGGATGAAGCAGCAAATGTGTATGCATGTGTGTCCGTGTGTGTATGTGGTGGGAGCGTGGGGTGGGGGAATTGAAGTTGTTGGAGGCTGCTTTGCGGGAAACACAGGGGCAAGGAAAGGCAGTAGAGAGCGCAAAGGATTCCCTAGATCGGAGGTCTCCAAACTTGGCAACTTTAAGACTTGTGGACTTACTCCCAGAATTCTCCAGCCAGCATAGGGAGTTGAAGTCCACAAGTCTTAAAGTTGCCAAGTTTGGGGACCACTGCCCTAGATTGTTCTCCTCTCCAACAAGTATGGAAGGTTGATGGAGAAAAGAAAAAGCAGACAATAATTCTGGGGAACTCCACCCTCATATCTTCTGTGAGATCACTCTTTCTGCCAGGGTCTAACCCCCTCAAAAAAAAGTCAGTTGTCCAGGAGGTTTTGATCTCTCTGGTAACCCAAGCAGAAATTGCCATGGACAGGGATAGTCTTGCAGCTGGCTAAATGGGGCTTCATTTTGCTGATGTCCCTGAAGATCCTCCTTGAAAACCAGAATAAGTACATAGGAAGTTTTGTTGAATTTTCCACCAGGTAAAAGAAAATTGCTTGCTAGATCACTTTGATTCAGCTTTGATCCTGGCACTGAAATGGAAACTTGGTTATAACAAATGGTTAGCAAATTGCCTCATATTGGGACAAAAAGAGAGGGAAGATGGGAGCGATCGCAGCATGCTTGCAACAGAAACAGTGGAAGCTTGATAATCCACTGATTTTTTTTTAACATGAGTGTTTGTAAATAAAAATCCATCTCTAGCTAAAGCAACATCAAGCAGGCGCAATAAACATTACCTAACAGTCCAACTGACAGGATGTTAGTCATTATTACAGAACAGGCAATGAGTCGGTGAACAAAAAGTGGGAGTTTTTATGAGCACTCTGTGGAAGACAGGTCAGATAATCTTGTGTGATGCTGAAGCACTAGTGGTGAGCAATCAACTGAAAACAGACTTAAAAAGGAAGTTCCATACAACATTCAGCACAACACGTCATTATGAGTGTTAGTGCAGTAAACGGGAAGGAATACATGGTTTTGAAACATAATGGCGGTGAGGTAGATAGGAAGGTCAAGGTTTCAAGAATGAAATTCTGTTTTCATGCACCAACTCAAATTTGGAAACAGAAACATTAGCACCAAGAAAAAGATATGAGGCTGGGCACAGAAATTATCAGCATAGCTTGTAAGCTTCTTCATATTTACAGATCTTACAGATAATCAGAGTTGGAAGGGACCTTGTAGGTTATCTAGTCCAACCCCCCGCCCAAGCGGGAGACCCTACACTTAACGACCAATTGAAACCAATGTTCTATAAACCTTCCATTGGCTTAATAAATCTTCCCTATACTCTTGAAACCAACAATTGCAGCAAAATGATTGAAAATAATCTCACTGCAAAGGCTTCTACTGGGGATCTAATTTCTGAATCTCTGAATTCTGTGAACAGATTTGAAGTATTATTTCAGGAATAACTCTCTCAAGTGAAAATGATCAATTCCTATAGAGTGATGGCTTAAAAAAAAAGCGTATTATGCATGGTTCACCTTGAAGATTGCATTTGTACCTAATGCTCCCACTGATGAGTTAAATAACATTCTAACTACAAAACACTCTTTATAACTTAACATTCCTTTATAACTGCCCAGACTGTAATAACTTTTTTGATCAATTAATAATTACTTCTGTAAAAATTAATGTTCTGAAGAAAATATTGATTCCTGACCTGGGCAGGGGTTGAATTGGAAGAACTCCAAGGTTTATGATTTTATGGTTCTATGATTTAATACCCATAATGGATCCTTCTGACAGAAACAGAAAGCACATCATCTTATCTTTCTGATTCTCAGAAAGATACTTTACTAATTTATAAGTAGGTTGAAAATGGTAATTATTGTGCTCCTTATTCCAGATAATAAAAAAACCCTGCTCTCACATACTAACATAAAGCTAGTTCTCTCAGTTCTTAATAAAAGCATCGAGGCAGGAAGATGGGGTTCTACAGCCTCTGTTTTTCTCTAAGTCTAAGCCATCTACTTCATTGATAGCTGCTCCTGCTGACCTTGTTCATGTGGTCTGGCTGGAAAAAGGATTCGGCGGTTTTTCAGTAATTCAATAATACCATCCATATTCCTAAAAATGAAGATCTTCCTGAACGTTTTTGAATTTTCTGCATTCAGGTATTTATTGATCAAAACATGAGACCTCTCCTAAAAATGTTGCATGAACTGCAAAAATGGTATGCTTAATTCAGACAACTAATAAACCATCTAGTATATTATGGAGGTATAATTGGCATTGAACCCAGCATCTGCTCATCTGTGGAAAAAAATATTACCTCATTGTTGCTTGGGATGGCAGAGATTTGGGATGGCAAAGATTTTTTTGGGGGGGACGGGACACCTCAATGTCTTCAGAAAAGAAGACAAGAAAAAACAATTTGGCTATATGCTGGATCAAGCTATTTTCTTAAAGGCACCATAGAACATGGTACATCCATGAAGATTTGGAACCTGTGATTCTTGAACTTCAGACAATTCACATGCTTTCTTGAAAAGCAAGTCTCAGGTGGTCAGTTTTGCAAACTTCATGGGAGGAGCAACAATTCCTGCAACATTTAATTCAAGTGCCTCTCAGATCTTTACCTCACAATCTGAAGAAAGCAGAGGAGACTCTTGTAGGCATTATTCTAAACAATCAGGCAAGGGATTTGAGCCTTGAGTATCAGAAGGTAAATCAATTATTTTTCAAAAGCTTACATTATAGCTTAAATCTTATATATTTTAATAAGAGCTCTCTTGTTTGGATCAATATTCTTTGCATACTTTTGCATTTTAGATAGTTATTTTTATTCTTGACTCATAGTGTATTATGGTCAGTTCCTGGAATCTAAGACTCAACCTTCACTTCAGAGTATTGCCATTTTTTCCCCACAGAGTAATTTTATATTTTAGTCAATTAGTTTGAAGTATTTAGATTTGTTTCATATTCTGCAAGTAATGTTTTTAGTATGAACCATTTTATTTCTATTAGACATCTAATTTGAGTCTTGTAACATTTCCATATACATTATGTAAAATTGCTGGTCAATGACTATAAAAATGTGGAAAAAAGACAGAAATTTGTTCTGAATATTCTGTAGAACATGGAGGTATAATATGACGCACTTACATCTACTTTATCTAAGATAGGCCTAGGATTGTGATCAATCAGGTTATTGCCAAATTTCCTAAAGGACTAAAGCACTTCAAGTGATGACACTGACCCTCAACCAACCCATGGAACCCCCTCTCCCCCAACCAACATTCCCAATGACCCTCGCCTCACCAATGATCACAAGACCTCCATCTCACCTGACCCATCACAAGACCCTCAGCTGACATGACCTCCCCATTACAACAGCTCTTATAAGCAGAACTGACACTGACATCCCCTAAACTCCGCTGAAGATACTACCTAGCCTGGTAACGAAACTTTTGGAAACCAACCCACAAACTTGGAGAACGAACCTCCACTCTCATCCTCCACCCGACCCACCGATAGTTGCCACCAATGCAATGACTATGCTAAAGAAACCTGTGAGGATAAATAAACAGCTGGACAACTGTACAGGTAGCCCTTGTTTAGCAATTGCCTTATTTAGTGACCATTTGCAGTTATAGTGAAGAAAGAGTAACTTTTTGGTCCTCACATTTATGACTTCCACAAGACTGTTAAATAAAGAAGAGGTGAAGTAAGTTTATAAGCAGAGTCACCATTTCCCTTAGCCTCCACTTTGCTTAACAACCAAGTTGCCAGTCCCAATTGTGGTTGCTGAACAAGGACTACCTGTAAAGGTCTCCAGTCCACACACTTCTTAAACAGGTGAAGAACTGAGAAGAGAACCTGAAATTGTGCATATCCCCGTTTGGGTTTCTGCTTTCTCCCTGGGTGAATTAAAAGCATTAAATTAAATTAACATGATTTGCCTGCATCATACATACTGTTTGAGTTTATTTCATAATTACCTGTACTGGAAAACTAAAGTTTGGATGGATAGTCCTCGCTTGAGCAAGACTCAGAATCCGCTGGGAAGCTTTGCAACAAAGGGCTGAGGAGCTGATAGGCCACACAGGGGAAATTCGTGGCCTGTAAATGAACAGAAGAAAGGCAACTGCAATTTCTGTTTCTTGCTAGCCATGTTCGCAATGCTAAAGAGGTCTCAGATTTGATTTATATGCTTCTACCATCCATTGTTTCTATAGGTGGGGGCAAATATGACTTTCAAGGCCCGGGGTGGTGCTTAGATCTGGCCCGTGGGGCTGCCTGGAAACAGCAAAGGATCTGCCTGCAGTGCCTCTGCCAGCAAAAACAGAGCTCGGGAGGGCTATGGGCAGCCCTCCAGAGCTCCATTTTCGCTGGCAGAGGGTTGCAGGAGGCTGTCACAGGTGAAAATGGAGTTTGGGAGCCCGTTTTCGCTGGCAGAGCTCTCAGGCCTCCAGAGGCACCTCCGACACCAGTGATGTCGAGCTTGCCATGCCCCCTGGCCACGGCCCCCCCAGCCCTCCTGAGGTCAAACACAATCCTGATGCATCCCTCAATGAAATCAAGTTTGACACCCCTGCATTAAAACATGGGTTTCCAACCTTTTGGCTTGCCTGAGCTGCACTGAGTGACCAGAAATTGTTTTGGGCCTCATATAAAATATATAATATAGTTAATATATATAAAAATATTGCTAAAAATCCCATCATGTTCAATGATCATGTAGGGCCCATTACTAGTTATCAAAGAATCTGCGTACCAAATGAAGACAGTACAGAGAATAGCAGCAATAAATATGTGCACAATTAACAGTTTTAAAGAATGCAATGCTCACAAAATCACATCAAACAGATATCAGATGTAGACCATCCCAGATGTAGCTCGTTGCTTAGCCAAAGCCTTGGGATCATCCAGCCAGTCAAGTCAGATTGTCAGTGTACAAGTAGTCCTCGACTTACATCCATTCATTTAGTGACCAGTCGAAGTTCTCAATTCATTTCATTTTATTTCAAACATATTTCTTAAATACTAACATTTCTTTTAAATGTGGCCTTTTCCAAAGTACTCTTTTCTCATTTTACCTCTCAGCTTTTACATAAGAAAAGGAATTAACAAATTAATCCTATTCATTAATATTACCTTCATTCTAAACATCTTCTCAGTTCATTTCAATTTATTTCAAATGTATTTCTTAAGCATTAACATTTCTTTTAAAAGCAGCCTTTTCCAAAGTACTCTTTTCTCATTTAAATCACAAATATTTCCCGTATCTTCATACTTATTCCCTTTTAATTATTTTGTCTGTCCAATTAGCAATTCCATTGCATATTCTTTCCATAAAATCTAAATTAATACAAGCTTTTACACATAAAACAAAACATAAATTTCCCCTCCCCTTTTACTAGTTTTGGGGTGTCACCTCAATGGTTTAAATATACCTTAATTCCCTCATCTATAATTCCCATTTAAACATCTATTTTACTTAGTTATAATAATAATCATTCCCTATAAAAAAATAAACTACTTTACATTGTAATTTTCAGTCAGGTTCCGCAATGAATTTTCTCCCTTTACTTCCATAAAAAATTTTTTATAATATCGAAAAAAAAATAAAAGAAAAAAGGAAATTAATCCATTTAATTAATCCTGGTCACTGATATGAATCTCATTTTTAAACCTCCTCACGATTCATTTCAATCATTTCAATATATATAATAAACATTAACCTTTCTTGTAACAATAAAAATAAAAACATACATTCATCTTCTAAAAAGATATCAGTGTCCCTCCCTCCTCTCAATAGTCTATATTCTATAATTTATAATTGCAAAGTACATTATTATTACTCCTCATATCAATGAGGAATCCCCTTTCTTAATTCATTAACCATTATCCCTATGTAATCTAGGTAAAAAAAAGTCTTCGTTTATTTTGCAATTCCCATATTTCTTTCTTTCCTGTTCGTGTTCCTCATTACCTCTCTTCCCTTTTATTTTTCCAGATCTTTTCTCCCTCTGATTTATATCCCTGTCTCTCTATATATTTTCCTTCCCCCTTTTACTTTTCTGCTGTTTCTATCTTTCCGATTTTTACAAGTATTCCCCATTTTAGTTACTTTCTTAAATCTCCCATTTTTAACCCTTTTTTTCTCTTCTTTGTAGTGTTCTTTGTGTTGATTGTCTATTTAAGATGGCTTCTTCTTGAACTAACTCCTCCTTCTCTGAGGTTTCTTCTTCGCATTCTTCAATCGCCATTTCCATAGCTTTTAACTCAGAGGCAAGTGATTCACCTCTTGCATGTAGTAGTTCTTTCAAATTTTTAAGTTCCATTTTTAAATCCCATCATCGTTGCACACTCTTATATCTTATAGTCATTAAAATCCACAAATCAGCTTCTCTTTTTTCTTTTTTCTTCTTCAAACTTTCTAGATTCACAACTATTCCAAAAACTGGGTTTATAGCAAAGTCACCAATCAGTCCAACATTCCGTATTTTTTCTTTTATTCTAATTCAGTTTTCACTTTCTAGGGTACTTATTATATTGTTTCAATATTACCTTTTCATTGTATCAAATCAGGTTCATAGAGAAATAGGAACTTTCCCTTTTGCAGCCTAAATTTTTATCCACCAGATGGCACGCTCTGTTACACAATGTCCTCACCCCCCCCCCATTTTATTGTTCAGGGCTTTCCAAGCCTCAGTATTCCAGACCAATCAAATCTCCAATTTAAATATTTCCCCTTCTTTATAGTACTCTTAAATCCAGCTTTAAATTATGCCAGTTTGTTGCCAATGTATTTTAATTCAAATTGTTCCGGCTTCTTCCTTTCCCGGTTCGAAGCCCTACTCAGCTGTCAAAAATATTTTCACTTTTTTTCCTTTCCCTTTATAATTCCGCCACTTTCTTATTCTTTCATAAAAAAAATTTATAATATCCATCCCGGGGTACCTTTTAATTAGATTGTTGCACCAAATTGTCCCGGTTCTTATGTTGTCCTCCTCTTTCTTCTCTCCTGCAGAAATCTTAGTCCAGCTAAGTCTTCCTCTTCAGAGTGGCCATTTTAGACCACCGCTCGGTCGTCTTCAGGGGGAAAAATTGCCAAGCCCAGGGAGGAGATATGTGGCTCTCCTCAACCTGGCTGGCTTCCTCTTACTCCACCGCCCCTCCGAGGCAGCTTCAGCCCCTAATCACAATGATTGGGGCTCTCCAACGAGAGAGCACGGATCGAAGCTGTGGACAATCACAGTCCCCGGTCCGTCAATGAGGAGGGCTTAACCCGGAAGCCGACCTCATCCCATTCCTAAGAGGTCTGTAAGAGGCGTGCATAAGCGCACCATCGTGCCTACTGTCCCTGTCTTAATGTTCCCTTTTATTCATATCTATTTCATGTATTAATAATCATGTTTATACTTATATACAGTATATTGTCAAATGCATGCTTGACAAAATAAATAAATAAAATAACATATAAACTTTATTAACTGTATTAAAGAGATCAACTGGGCAGAAATTTCCTGGATTGTATTTATTTAAAATATTTTTTTTAAAGATTGGAACTGTTACTGACCAAGACCTGACCTCAGGAATATGGAGAGCTGAACTGATTCTATATTAGAATACCAGCCTATTTCTCAAAGGGTTTCTTGACTGAATTCTACACTTAAAAACCCACTGGCCTGTGGCAATTAGAAAAACTCACTAGTGTTAGGGCCTCACCTTAGTTTCAGATAAGTTGCAGAAATTGGCCTAGGTTCTGCTAGCTTCAGCAATCGCTTTGATGGCAGTGCAGAATACACTGTTGAAGAACGTTTCCAAATCTCTGACATTTGTCCACAGCTGTACCAGAAGAGGGATTTACTACGGAAAAACCACAAGGATAATTTAGATAGTAGAAACAGGATAAGTCTATAGTAGAAAGGCCACTTTGTGTTCTTCTTTTCTCTACTGCTATATTTTTCCAGGTGCTTCAACTGCAACTTCAATTACTCAAGGTCATCTGTACAGCTTCATCTTTTAGAACAGGGTCTCCAACCATGGCAACTTTAAGACTTATGGACTTCAATTCTCAGAACTGAAGCTGAGGAATTATGGAAATTGAAGTCCATAAGTCTTCATATTCTGTCCTTTGATTCAATTGTTGAATATAAAGACAGATAGATAACTCTACAAATTCTTTCATACAAAGTTTCTTTTAGTGGATTATATTAGGTATCCTCAAGGTAACTCACATTTATTTCGAGTTGCATCTAATGTCCAATTCTTTGCATAGTTGAAATCATAGTGTAAAATGATAGTAATCTTTCTCCTATTTCATCCCATAGTAGTAGAGCCAAAGGAGAGACGCCAGCATGAAGCTGGGATCCGAGCAAGAGTGAAGAAACCTCCCCCAACCCACCAAGGGCCAATTCAGTGACCAATCAGGATTACAGATGTGGCCACATGACATGAACTACATTTCCCAAGATACCTTAACTACATTTACCATGATGTATTCCCTTAAGGGGACAGCTCCCAATTACCATTAACTATAACTGGCTGGACAGCACACTTCAAGTTGCCAAGGTTGGAGACCCCTGTTCTAATCTAGAAAGCTGTGATTTCATTAGCTGAAAACAGCAATTACAGTAGTCTAGCTTCCTATATCCCATTTGGATGATGGATTAGAAAGAATCAAAGATAATTTCTTTTCTTAAATTAAAAGAACATTTTTTAAATTAAATGTTTTGCAGCAACCTGTTTATTCTGCGCTTTAATTACAGGTGTTACAGGGAGATGACCAGGCTGAGCCTGAAGGAGGATCCAACATGTCATCATCAGTCAGGAGTGCCTTAATGTCCACCAGAGATCAAAGTCTAACCCACTTTGAATTTCTTTGACTCGTATCTACCACCAATTTGATTTGGCTGTTAGTAGTTCAGATTAATGTCAAGCAGCAAGGAAATCAAGAAGATATAGGCAGTTCAAATGGCTATAAAGATGTATTGCAAACTTAAGCTCCCTAGTAGAATCTGAACTACTAATGGTTCAAGCAAATTGGCGGTAGATGAGAATCACTAGAATTCAAGGTTGGGTGGACTTTGATCTCTTGTGGGCACAAAGATACTCATGACCTCATGACTGATGTCATTTTTTTTCACAAGCTGTGCTTAAATCATTTTAAGAACTGTTCCATTGTTGCTATATGTACTCGTACTCGAAAGCATTCAATATCAGACTTGGGATTCAAATTAAAACATCCAACCATTCCAGAATATACAGATACTTAGCCGTAGACATGAAAGCAAACCTCTTCGGTTTATCAACTGCTTCCTTTGGCCTTGCTAGAGTCAGGATTCTTGAGCTGGGCTGTCTCAGCATATTCCTTGAAGTGAGAGGCCATATTGGATCTTGATTTCCCCAGATTAACCTGCTGTTATGAATAAAAAATGCACAATGCCAATCAAAATGAGTATACAACCACATACCCTGATAATATATAAGTAATATTATATTATATTATATTTACTAGCTCTATACCCATGCTTCGCTATGAAACTATGTGGTCGGGCTTAGTTTTTGGGGAGGAAAATAAGGGGAGAAAAATCTGCCTCTGCCTACCAGCATCCATCAATATTCATCTGGCTAGCGTCCTGTCAGTATGTGAGAGAGTTGAGGGCTGTTTGAAAACTGAAACAGTATTTTCTGTGTGAGCAAGGAGACAGCAAGGAGCCTGGGCGTGGCTTAGCTCAACTGTTCTGTACTAAAGCTGGTTGCTGCTGTGAAACTGAAACTGAAACTCTTTTCCTCTGCTTGTGTTTTGCATTTGGAACAGATTTCTTTTCAGGTGGAGAGGGGGAGTAGAATTCCTTAGCATCAGAGCGTGTTAATAATAATATACAGAATATTAATGCTCTGAATAGTCATTTGGAAAAATCCTTTCGTAGTGAGTACCTTGAAGCCAAGAAAAACATGCGTGTCAAATTTCAAGTTTGTAGGCTTTACGGTTCTGGAGATTTTGTGATGATGCATGAGTGGTATTTCAATTTTATATATAAAAAATATTATATGAGAGCCAGTTTGGTGTAGTGGTTAAGGCATTAGGCTAGAAAGACAGTGTTAGTTCTAATCCTGCCTTAGGCACAAAGCCAGGTGGGTGTCCTTGGGCCAGTAACTTTCTTTTAGTCTTAGGAATGAGGCAATGGCAAGACACTTTTTAAAAATGTTGCCAAGAATAGGCATTCTTCAAGAACTTATTTAATTAACAATTAAGTTGTGAAGGCACCAGACTAGAAACTGGAAGACTGTGAATTCTAGTTCCACCTTAGGTCTGAAAGCCAGCTGAGTGACTTTGGGCCGCTCACTCTCTCATTCCAAATCATCTCATAGAAATGTTGCCACGGAGAAAATAGGAGTCTTGGTTAAGTTTGCCGCCTTGAGTAATTTATAAAAATAATAAAGTCAAGATATAAATCAATCAATCAATCAATCTGACATGATTGAATCAATCTGACATGATTGAAGAAAAAAATATTTGTTATACAGCATAAGATCTATGCTTGACCACACAATATTAAAAATATTGATCTTTAGATTGTGTTTATGCTATCTAAACACAAGTAGTAATTGTAACTGTTACTTTTCAAACTATCTGGCAATTGAAACTATTTGGGCAGAGAATATGCCAACCTGTACAATTATGAGATTGGTTTGTTTTGACTTATAAATTCCTTAACAGAACTCACAATTCATGTAAACTCACATATTATCTCATGTAACTACTGCCTCAAGTATTAGCAAATTGAAAACAGACAAAAATATCATTTTAAGGCAGAAACAGAAATCTGGCCTCAAGGCAAAATTCCCCATAAAACAAGCCTGGCTGGGGAATTCTGGAAGTTAAAATCCAGACATCTTAAAGTTGCCAAGGTTGAAAAAAGACTGCAATAAATGCTACCAAAGCAACAGAGACCCATAAATCGTGAGTTGTTAAATTCTGCCCGGACTTCACAAGAGCAGACCTGTAATTGTCGTTGCCATCATACACAATGAAAGGGACTACAGTACAGGAAGAACAACTGTTGCCTGTAGCACTGCATGATTCATCTCCATATACTAATAAACTAAACAGTTCTTGGTACAATATATTAACACAGGAATAATCTACCTGAACTGATCTTGAAGATATACTAAAAAGGATGGAGTTCCACTAAGTTAAATTTTAATATACCAAAACCATTGTTTTATTTTTTTATACTAAAAGAAGCCATTGCAAGGTAGTAGGGGTCTTGAAACAGGCATTTCAGCAGAAAGATTGATGTGTCTGCACTAAGGCGGTAGCTTGCCAGAAGAAGTAGCTACTAACCTGTTCTCTATTGGTACTCAGTATTATTAGTGCAAATAGCCTTTTGTAGCAAAAAAAAGTTAATTTACCAGGGAGGAAGTTAAGTCAATTGAATAAAGTATCTGAACTGTTCTTTATAGTACTGTACCTGCTAAAGAAGTGTGAGGCAAGTTAACCCAAGTTCTCTGGTGTATTCTTTTGATGCCTACCAAGTTCTCTACTACTTTATGTGTCTGTATATGTATGTTTAGTTTCTTTTCATTAAAACAAAACAGAGTGCAAGGATGCTGCAAAATCAAACCCCAATCTCTAGTACCATCTGAACTCCATATTCAAACTTGGCAACTTTAAGATGTGGGAACTTCAACTCCCAGGATTCCGAGTTAGCATATTGGCTGGCTAGCTAGGGAATTCTGGGAGTTGAAGTCCATACATCTTACACTTGTCAAGTTTGAAAAACACTGATATAAAATCTAAAGTCATTTTTAGAAAACAATAATAGTGAATGAGAGAGCCCAACGCTTCCTTTGCAAGTCTGCTTTGAAAAAAGACAGAAGTAAATTGGGTGGTAAGGAGTAAGTTGGGGAGTTAAGAAGCATGACAAACAAACAGCCGCCTTATTGGTTTGACTGCAAATAAATGGGGCTTTGGTCAAGGCTTCATCTACCCCATGAATAGGCAAGACCAGGGGTCTCCAAACTTGGCAACGTTAAGACTTGTGGACTTCAACTCTGGCTGGAGAATTCTGGGAGTTGAAGTCCACAAGTCTGAACGTTGCCAAGTTTGGAGACCTCTGGGCAAGACCCTATGACAACCAATTCATCAATGTAATTTACAAGATAAGTTGTATCAAATGTTCTGAACACCACATCTAAAACACATTTTAAAGACCACAGGTGGTCCATGATTTAGGATCAAAATTGGGACCAGAATTTCCGTTGCTAAGCAAGGCAGTTGTTAAATGCCTCATGACCAATTTTGCAGCCTTTTTTTTTTTTTTGCCATGATTGTTAAGTTAATTGCTGCAGGGGTTAAGCAAACCATGCAGTCATTAAGCGAATCCATCTTTCCCCAAAGGCATTTCTGACAATTTTCCTGTCAGAAGTCATCTGGGAAGGTTGCAAATGGTGATTACATGACCCCGGGATGCTGCAACTGTCACAAATAGATGCTGTTGGCAAAGCAGCCAATTTTTGATCATGTGATCATGGGAATGCTGCAGTAGTCATAAATGTGAGGACCAGCTATGTCACTTTTTTTGAAATTTTGAATAGTTGCTAAACAAATGATTGTAACTTGATATCCAACTCACCGATGAAAATTCCATACGTCTTTGGTTGGCTTTGGTTTTGCAAGCTCTTGTAACCTGGGAAATGCAATTTTTAAAACATTACATGGTGATGGGGTAGAAAGTCAATCCTCTAAATTTTTACAGCCTGACAAACCTTCCCAATTCCATTGAGCAACTTCCAAGTATGCATTGTATCTAATTATATCAAGTGCAAAGGCCAGAGCTGCATTCCTCCAGATCTTTAACTTCCATTACTGCTGATCTGCTCTGGCAGCACTGAGAGAGAATTGACAAGGAGATTATATATTATTATTGCAAGTTCATTTGATATAAAAACCCAGATAATATATTCAGCTGATTACATTTAATCGCCAATAGTATTTTACCATGTATAAAACTTGCTTCTAAGCAAAAGCTTCATTGGAAGGCATTGATACATTGGGGTTATAGTAAGCCTTCAGTTCAGGCTGAGACTTGTTCAAGGAGAAACATTCTTTGCCAGCCAAACACCACCCTCAAGTTCATAATGTTTTCTTAACAGAGAGGAGCTTGAGAATAGCTACCATGGAAGGAGGCAGAATCTTTCTCCCAGCCAGGGATAGACACTATGAAAGAGACAGAAAGATCTTCTTCCTTCAGCCATTAGCAACACAGGCAATAAATTAGGGCAAGTGATGGCTAGTTGCTAAGGATGTCTCCCTGTTGACATAACAGCACAGAGGTATGCAGTTGTGTCAGAAAAATTTACCTCAGGTCTAGTCAAGCTTGTAGTTCCATATGGTATATCAAATAGAGTGTACAGTGTAGGATCACCCCAGTGCATAAAGGAATGGGATTAGACCTCTTTTGGATACCCACTTTGCTAGGGTCAACAGCAAAGTATAGTGACCTCAACCTACTTTGCCCAGGATGAGTGTTTATTACACTCAAACAAAAAAGCTAGGTGGTGTTGCGGTCTTATAGATTTTAATATGGAGCAGTTTCAGATCAGCTACTGGTGGGTCCCTGTCATCCTTTCTTCTCCTACCCAGCATCACTTCCCAGTGGGAAAAATAACAATCAGTTGTTGTACAAAATGTGTGGTAGGACAGAATCTCCAAACATGTAACCATTTTCTTTGCTATCAATTGTCCTACGAAGAGCAAAAAAAAGTCAGGAACACAAAATGTAACCATTGTTCACCACCAGAGGTGGCATTCAGCGGGTTCTGACCAGTTCTGGAGAACTGGTAGTGGAAATTTTGAATAGTTCAGAGAACCGGCAAATACCACCTCTGATTGGCCCCGCTCCCATCTATTCTCTGCCTCCTGAGTCCCAGCTGATTGGCTGGATCTTCTTTTGTTGCCTGCATAGGCGAATGGAGCTGGAAAGCAGGTTAGTGGGGTAGGGAGGGAATGGGATTTTTCAGTAACTTCCCCCTGGAGTTGGGTGAGAATGGAGATTTTACAGTATCCTTCCCCTGCCATGCCCGCCAAGCCATGCCCACAGAACCATAGTAAAAAAAATTGAATCCCACTACTGTTGACCACTCAAGTGCAATTCCACCCACTAAACTGGCTAGAACAAAATACTAAACTAGCTTGGTCATTGTCTGAACCTGAGAATTTTTTTTCTAGTTTTCTTATGTGCAGCAATTTAACTGTAATCACCTATGCAATTAAAATTAAATCTAAATTTGTCAAACGTGTACTGTCAACATTCTGACACTGTGAATTCTTTCTTATACAAATTACATGGCTGTTATATCCCAAATAAAGACTAATATTAAAATTGATAGTATTTCTTTGTCCTGACTCTTCTGTGCAATATCTCTGCCCCACATGCATAAACTAGCTAAAAGAGAGATAAATATGGATAAGTTGATAATAGAGAGAGTTAACAGTTCTCTCCAGTTCTGCTTCTGCTCCAATAGCTGATATGTATAATTAAGTCTGATTGACATCTATGAACATTGTGTCGAGGAAGAAAAGATTGTGACGTAATCATCAACCTTTTTAACCCATATAAATGTCATCACTTTATATATTAGGGGTAGAGCATATGTTTACTGGTGTTATTATGTTATTACTTTCCTCATTTTTAATTTATTTTCATAGAATCAAGATAGTCTGCAGGCCAGCTACTGCAAAAAGATTGCAAGTAATTATGACATCATGCATACTGGAAGACTCACTGGTTACTCAAAAAGACAAGATAAATAAGTGCATTCAGTTTTTTTTTCTCACAATTGATCACTGATGACTTTTCTTCTTTCTAGAATGCCTTCCCGTCCTCAAACTCAGTTCTGTAATCATTCTGATTCAAATATTGAGGAATTCAGAAAAGGAGAGGCACATCCTGTTTTGTAAATTGAAGCCTGAATGTATGACTTTAGATATTACTCTGTAATTCCTGAATATATTTAAGTAACTACTCAGATATGGGAGCTTGATGATTTTATCTTACCGTTCATTTGAATAAAACCCATGGGAAGTAGCTGAAAGAGAAACAGAAAAGAACAAATGGATCTGAAAATGATGTCCATATTCTATAGTTAATTATATGTTGTAGTAATTCAGTAATGTTTGGGAGTGGGGTTAAATCAGCAAGATGACACATGGAGTCCCATAATTCAATCGCCACCCATTTTCTACTTCTGTGGGATGTTGCCAAAATGGCAACCAGCAACTGCAGTCCTAACAATGAAAAATCTTACTGATAAAGTACTAACAGGGCTCATAAAATTACAGCAAAAAATATGACTCTGCTTAACTATACAGTCTTATAAATGTTTAGAACTTAGCCAACATGGAATTTCTGGGTTTTTGAGGTTCAAAGGGCACAACTAGGTCTGCAGCTATGTTAAACATCCAAGAGACACATAGCATCCTGAATGTTAATATATTCTTACATTCATTAGTTAAGCCTTCATAACTAATATTATCATTTCATTTTAAGGTACCAAAAAGGGTTTTGTTTTGTGCTGCAAGTATTAGCATGATTTCCGTATTCACCACCTTAAACAGGATATACTTTATAATGTAAAAAAAAGTATATTATCCTCTATGGCAGTAGTTTCAAATCATTTCTATTTCCCTTAGGAAACGTTTGATTAATTTTCACACCAGTTGTGGGACTCAAATAATTTAACAACCAGTTCTCTGCCCTAATGATTTCTTCCAGCAACCACTTCACCAAACTGCTCAGAAACTTAACAACCAGTTCTCCCGAAGTGGTGCGAACTGGCTGAATTCCACCACTGGTTCACACCCTGTACAAAAGTAATTGTGACGCATGACTCATCGCAAAGGATCACAAGCCACTCTTCATTGTAGTCCCTGAAATTCTACCCTGCACACCCAGATTGCTCTATGGATTCATATACATGGCCCTGAGAAGTGGTATGGAAGTCTGTCCCATGTAATACGCCCTATGTACAACTTTTTCTGGTAAGGTTAATAGTTTGATCAGTTATTTGTTGGGCTGTCTACATGATTGTATTTGTTTATAACATTGACTGATAATTGAATAATAATAATCCCAAAGTATCTGGAACATCACTTGAGCTCCATTAGCATTGACAAAATCAGCATCCGTCAATTGCAAAAGGCAACTTTACTTGGAACAGTTTACATCCTGAGATGATACCATTAACACCATTAAATAACAACATCTGTCTGTTCCAGGAACTTCAGAAGGACTTGGTCTATGGATAAAAATGCCAAATCCAGTCTAAATCATAATGATATACTCTGAGATTCTAGGAATTACGACTATCTTAAACTTTCAGGTATCTCATATAATGCAGAAATAAGGGCTTTGTTTAACAAACATTGTATTTTTCTTCTGGTTTTTATTGTTTTTGTTCTAATAATTTTGTAATGAATTGTAGTTCACAAAATCTTCTGTCTTTTAATAAAATTTGTTAAGTCAGAAAGGGTGCTACTAATCTTAGTTTTTGGCTACCATAAAACTATTTTCCTATATTGTTTCTGAAATGTGAGGCCCAATAAATTAATTTTCTAAAGGATTTTCTGGATGGCTGCCCCACAGGGGGATGTGGGGAGCCCAGAAAACTATTTTATTTGGTTAATTACCAATTGATGGTTAAGTGGCAAGGGCAGTTCAGTGTGAAATATAAATTCTAGCTATTGCAGCAATAAAAAAATTAAATAGTACATGTCCATAAATAAAAGTAAAAAAGACCAGCTGTTATCTTTAGATTTCAGAAGACGACTTGTGCACAGAAGTATTAGCATTGTTCCTGGCCTTCCTAAGGTCACAAAGAGTAAAAAATAAATAACTAAGCATTACATGGATTAATAAGCAAATTATTAATGGGATTTTCAAAAAGTTACAAAATTGTTTTTTTTTAAGTAAAGAATTTTAAGTGAAACATTAAATACATTTGTTGCACCCAATTTGTAAACAATGTGAAATGACAGCTACGCTCAAATGGTAAAAGACGGTCTCTATAAAATCCATCCAGCTGTGCAAGAGCCCCCTTGCGGTAGAATCATTCATTCATTCATTCATTTATGTATATGATTATTAGATAACTGGCATAAGTATAAACATGGTTATGAACACATGAAATGGATACGAATAAGAAAAAAACCCAATAGGACAGGGACGGTAGACATGATTGGTGTGCTTATGCACGCCCGCTACAGAACCTCTTAGGAAAGGGGTGACAATAGTAGACAGTCTAAAGTTAAAGTTTTTGGGGTTTGGAGAAAAAAAAACCAGAGCCAGGTAGAGTATTCCAGACATTGACCAGAGTGCTGAAGTCGTATTTCCTGCAATCAAGTTTGGTGCGGTTAATCTTGAGTTTGTATCTATTGTGTGCTCTTGTATTGTTGTGGTTGAAGCTGAAGTATTCGTTGACAGGTAGGACATTGCAATATATAATTTTATGTACTATACAGTACAATCAGTACAACCTTCCTGCCTTTAAACACAGAAGAAGAAAAATAAAGCAGAAGGACCTATTTAGCCAGGATAGTGATGATACCTTGCCTTTCAAGCGCCTTTCCCCTCTTAAATCAAAAATAATATCGTTGCTTTCCACTCCCGCGGAAATCCATGCTGTGCACAGATGGATCTCATTCTGCGAAGCGTCATAATTGCAATGCCCAACAGAGGGCAGGTTCTACCCGGAAAGACGGTGGCTCTTAGACGGTGTTTCCTTTACTGACCTGATCGTGGCTCGACCATCCTGCGCGACAATTCCCTGCTTCTCCTAGCTCACGACGCAGTTTGCAGTTAGAGAAAAGCGGTGCTCCGTATGCACCTTAAGTTCTTTGTTTCCGTCGCCACGGCAACCGGGGGAATCACCGCCGTTTGTTTCTCTTTCTCTGAATTTACTTTCTGTGCCGCGGGAGGGCAGGTAGGATTCGCAGGTGCCCTTACTCTTAACAGTGCATAGTCCACTGACTTCGGCCGGGCCTTCGATTTAATTGCTTTTCTATGCAAGAGGATTCTGTGCAAATTATTACCATTGCTTTCCTTCCCTTTGTTACTATATGTAACATGAATATTCCCTATCCATCTGTTTGCAGTCCTCTAAAACAGTGTTTCTCAGCCTCAGCAGCTCCAACTCCCAGAATTCTTCAGTCAATATGCAACCTGGGACTTGAAATTCACATGACTTAAAAGTTGCTGGGATTGAGAAACACTGCTTTAAAAACCTGAAAATCAAGGAAAGGGAGTCAGACATTTCTATCACCTTCTTCAGGATGCATTCGTCTTAGTAAAAAAGAAGTGATCATTGCAAGGGAACATGGTACAATACGTTTATGTCAGTAAAATGCACACTTGGAAGAAAAATATTCTAGTTTAATAAAGAAGAAAGTTTTAACATTCAAGCAGAAAACATTCTAGAAAAGTTTGGTAGTTTTTATTCTTACAAAAAAATTGAAAGATTTTTAACCTTGTTTTAAAAGCCAAAGCAGCGTCTTCTGTTACGTTTTCTTGCCAATGTCAATGTAACCTGGCACTACTACTACTACCACCAAATATTTTTTAAAGGAGAATTTTATTGCATTAATAAAAGTACCTCTATGCTGAAAATTGCAATACTCAATGTGATTAGATCACAGGAGCCACCACCAGGCTTCTCTATGCAAAGCCACCAAAAGTTGTGAAAGATAATGTCACATGGTAAAGCAAAGAATGAGAGGATAACACCACCCTTCCTCCACCATTAATATTTCACAGGAAACCTTTCCCATTAATTGTCCCTGCCCCCAATTCATAGGGGCACACATTTACGCTGAAATATCCAGGCTTGCGGTTTTAAGACAGAAAACTGGGTGGAGGAATGTTTTAAAACTTTACCACTCTATTATAAAAGATGACAACTCAGTTTTGAAGAGCAGGGTTTGACTTTTGGGTCATTCTGGCTGATGCTCTAAAAGTGACAGCTGATTATGTGAAAATAGGCAAAGGAAGGAGCTTGATATCGCATCTGAATTGGCTGAAGCCTTGTAAACACATAGCCAGATTCATCTTTGCAGTTTTGACAGCAGCTTTTCTGAGTGGACTATAAAGTTATTATGACAATAAAAACAAGACATAATGAAAAATAAAGACACTATCCCAATGTTATATGGGGTACTTAAACTTTTCAAGACACTCTCAATTCTTCAAGGAATTTATATTAAGACTACTAGTATTATTAAATGACAAGCCATGACAAATAAATTATACAATACAATATGAAAATAAGAAATAAGATCCATATGAGCGATCTAAAATATATCTATCAGCTAAGCCTACAATCAAATCAAAATTCTTAATATTTTCTTAAAACTAAAATGTCACCATGAGCTTATAGCTTGCGGAACCAAGCTATATTTGTTACAAATGGAACAAAGTGGCATAATTGGCTATCTACTGGATGTTTAAGGTGCTTCCTGCTTAACAACCATTCATTTAGAATCATTTGAACAGTGGTATTTTTGCCTGGTTCTGGAATTCCTACCATTTTAGCATCCCACACTCAGGCTGCTTGCAACCTTATTTGCTGATTTCCGACAAAGTCAATGGAGAACCTGCAGAAGGTTGCAAATAGCAACCATGTGATGTCCTTGCTTTAATGACCACAATGATTTCCTTAACCACAGCAACTGGAGTGCCAGAATTGTCCTTGTTAATCAAAGGTTAGATTTGTATAACGTTTGGTGAATACCCGTTTATCGATGTCATCCCAGAGCAGATTTTCATACTAGTTAACAGAAAATGTAGCTATTAACATTGGTCCAGAGTTCAGGTAAGAGATGCTTGTTGACCTGATAGAACATTTAGCACAGGAGAATTAAGCCAGTAGGCATAAAACTGGCATTGTAATAAAACATCCTCAACTGCCTCTTATTTCTCCTCTTCACTCTTGACCTAATCAACTCATTAATTTTCCATTTAAGGAGGACTTAAGGTGTATTTTAAAGAAGCCTAAACTTGAGAGTATAGTAGTTGATATCAAGAAATTCCCTAGAACAGGACATTATGGCAGCTAGGCATCTATGGAAGGCCCTTTTGAATTACAGATCAGATGGACGCATCTGCGTAGAAAAGGATTGTAATAGGTTAGTGGGTAAATGTTGGGGGTGATGGAACTGTGGTATAAAAAGAGCTACATCAATGTCATTTATATAGAAGTTAAACAATAAGGGGTCAAGGTTACAGCACTGTTTGACCTCTTTGTGGACAAGAGTTGTTAAATTGCCATTACGGTTGCTTCTAACCTGTGTTGTACCTGATGTAGCAAAATTATCAATTTGACAAGTGATGATCAATGGAAGCTCGCTGCAGGTAATTTCCTCATAGACTCTCTCAAGGACTTAAATAATGAAAGCAGTATTAGGCTAGAAATAATTTTCAGCTAAAGAGTGCAGAATTGCACATCGATCCATGGTGGAATCCAGAGTTAAAGCATACTGTTTGGGGTGCTAAGATATTCTCCAAATACATGCAGTCTATAAAAGTTTATGGTTAAAAATTGAGTATAAATTTATTAATTATTGGCATTAATTTAATTGAGCAATAATTAATTGGCTTTGCCTATTGCCTTACTTGTATAATAGATGATAGGATTTACTAATTATTTGGGGTGAAGAATTATTAATGGCAGTAAGTAGGAGGGCTATCACAGAGACCCACCAATAAGGATTTGTTTTCAACCACTCTGGCATAATCCTATTTTTACCTGGGGTGTACCATTTTTAAACTAAGAAAATCAGTTTTAGTGATCTGTTTGTGTAAAGGTGGGGACCAGTCTGGGTATGGATCAGATACGGTGAGCCAAGAGAAATACCACCAAAGGGTGCACAAAGTAAGTTACCAAAATATTTTATCTGGATTCTAAAGATAATTCATTAGCACCGGGGCCAGGTTTAACATGAAATAAGATGCTAGAACAATCATCCTTATTTATTATTGCCTGTTGGAACTCTTATATCTCATTAAGAGTTTTTTTTAACCATTCCTTCAGTACCAGCAATGTTTCATAATAGGGAGAATCATTGCTGAACTGAGCACTTCTATAAGCTGGGTTAGTAAAGCTAACAAAATTCTTAAAAACCAAGGTTTGGGCTGTTTATTTGAACAAAGGGTTGGAGTTTGATTAGGCAGTTCTGAGATAAATCTGTCACTTTTTTGAACAGTGACAAAAAATGTTAGAAGTATCATTGATTGTACCAATGATTTGTTTTAAATGGTTGACCTATGATTTAAGAAATTAGGTTGCAGCATTTTAGTAATGTTTCTTACTTTTCTTTCCGGGATTCCTTCCCACTTTTAAAACTTAAGAGAACCCCCAAATAGCTGTTATTTGCACAAGTTACATTTATCAACATCTACTGTATTAAAAATTAATACAGTGCTACTCTTACTGCTTTTCATTTGATGGCATTTTAATAGTGTGTTGTTTTTCAACATAAGCTGGCACATAATTTTGATTTTGCAGACTCCTGAGAGAATCACTTTGAGAAACACTATACTACACAGTATTGGCTGGTATCTATCAGATGAGCAACAAAGCAGATGAGGCAAGATTAAGGGGCAGTTGTCCTCATTTTCTAGAGTCAAGGAAAAGGACTCTATTAATGATAAGTGTTTACTATCAAGGTGGAAGTTAATACTAAAATTGAACAGTAACAGACAGAATCTTCAGAAATCAGCATGTATTCTACAACAGAAGTTCCTCTGGAGTCCCAAAAGGTGAATTTACCCTATCACCTGAAGACCTTCAGGGCAAATTTTACCAACTGAAGCAAATTCCACTCTACTAATTATATCAATTCTCACCCATTCCCCATATCAATGTTTTTTATCTTTAGATTTCCAATGAACCAACCCAATTAGGCAGAAGTCCGGGATATTAAAATGCTGGAGCACAGGCACATTATTAGCTACTATGCTACCATTAAAATCTCCTACTAATACTGGCCTTGGAACTTGATCATTTGATTGAAAAGCCAGTTTTAAAGAAGGGCTCATTTCTCTTGATTTGAAAAAATACAACTTTGAGGGATTAAACAGTAAATAAATATTAGAGAGGAAATTGATAGAGCGGAGATGCTAACTGAACACACACTAAAGCTGATGAAATGTGAGCATGCAATTTAGTGGAGATTAAGATGTTTTTATGGACCTTGGCCTTATCCAGGATGTTTTCTGCCCCTAACATTAAGATCTTCCAATGATGCCCCATTTACTTTTGTAATCAAGTCCATCATCTTTGCTGCCAATTATCCTCTTCTTTTTTCTTCAACATTTGCCAGCATTATAGACTTCTCAATGGTCCATCTTATGCTTAAAATATAATTTGAATTTGGTAATTTGTGCCTCAAGTGAGGGCTCTAGATTTTTTCTGTAATTCTGTATTAATTTGTTTTCTTGTCTAATCGTATTTCCAGATGTCTCATCGAACATCAACGTCCAAAGTATCAATACTATATCATATTTTTTTTAAATTCCAGGATTGAATTCAGCAATACTGTTAATGAACAACACTGAGCTAATACTAAGAAAACTGTAGAGTAGTTCTGCTTAATTATTCTTCCTTGGAGAGTCTCAAGGGAAGATCAGGAATAGGTATACTCTTATATATGTTTTCCATTAAATTTTTCTCAAGTAAGAAAATAATTTATACCCCCTACAGTTATTTTAACATGAAATATCTAATCCAAGGGTCTTCAAACTTAGCAAGTTCAAGACGTGGACTTCCAACTCCCAGAATTCCTGAGCTAACATGACTGGAGGAGGGATTCTGGGTGTTGAAGTCCACAAGTCTTAAAGCTGTCAAGTTTGAAGACCCCTGATCTAGTCCCTAAAACACTCATAAGGTATAATCTTTTCTCTATGCCCTGTATATAAGAGAAAATCAGTATTTAGCCAGGCTAACAACTTTGGCCTCCTCTGAAGTCTACACAATAGGTTTTTTTTTTTTAAAAAAAGGAAAGCTGACACAGAAATATCATTTAAATTGAAGGAGTGATCAAATATGAAACAACCTAGAAAAAGAAATGTTTCAGAGAAATACATATTATATGTAGAAATGTTGGGCTCTCAGTGCGTACTGGCCTTCTTTTCTGCTAAAGCACTTCTAAACAAAACACAATTTCTTTCCATTTCAAAATCATGTTCATAGCAATTCTGTATCTGGGGTTTGATTGGCACCAGGATTTGAAGAGATGCTATTCATAGTTCCTGCTGCATGTCCTATTATGGCATTCCGTTCCATCTCATTATCACAGAATTTCTGACACCAGCTGCGTAATCAGTTCCCGGGTATCTTTCAAGCTGGAAGAGATCTCTAAGCCCTCCTTTGCCACATGTGTACCAATCAGAAATATCTTCCTTTCATCTCCAATTTCAGATAAAGCCAAAGCGTCATGAATGTCTGTAATACAACATGCGCCTGCAAGATCCTGTCCGACAAAAGAAAGAAATATATTAATCTATTCAGTTTGTCTTTTTCAAAGCAGGGTTGCAATAATTTCCCTCACAGATCTGTCAAAACACCTGGTAAAACTGTGAAGAAACAATATTCCCAGAGGCAAAGAATTTATTATTTTATTATACCAGCTTTTCATGAAATGGGTCCTTCATACCAGATATAAGTAAACGAAATTAAAAGGGCCAAATTTACAACTGACATTTGGGCCACCACTCTTGCTATCATGTCCCAGAAGTAGCGTTTTTCTGTTGTTCAAGCACTGGGGGAGATCTGTAGGACAGTGGTAGATACATAAGAAATCCAACTAACCTGTAGGAAGTCTGCTCCAAATCTTAGCTATCATATCTGTTTCCTTTTTAGATACAGACACAATATGGAAACAGTTGCCTTCTTCCATTATTTCTTTTCAATCTATATTGCTGCAATTTCTTGAGGGTATCTCATTCAAGTTTTAACCAGATCTGACTCTGTTTAACTTTCCTGTATAAGATCAATGTTTCTTACATGGAATCTTTTCAGAATGGAATCTTCCCCATAGTTTTTTCTCCACTGTACTTGTAAGAGACAGTACGTACTGAAATATTTCTCAGGGTGATATTTAAATTTATTAGTTTTATTCCTGAATGAATAAAAATCAGGAATACCTTTTCTCTTTCAGCTCTACAAAGGAAGTAATAGCAAACTAGTCCCAAAGATTTGCAAAGAAAACTGCAAGGGTTAATTCAGGCAGTAACCAGCAATTAACCATGATTGAACATGAGTGTCCACACATATGCAAAAGATTAAAAACCCATTGTGTTTGTTAAGATTCTCTGAGACAGCGTTTTGATGGATTCAGCAGTCTCTTGCTGTATGAGGCTGGAAAAATTTGATTGCTCTAAAAGAGAAATTTAAATTCTGAATATCCTAACAGATTAAAATGCTGTAATATTACTTTGTCCTCTGTTGAACAGTATCAGATCATTTAATTATTATTCCATCTGTTTTCTCTCTGAAATCCGGAGCAATGGATCCCATCTTCAAAGGGCTTGTGCTTAATACAATCCCTTTCTTTATGCACAATGGAATCCTTGACAACTTAGCTTATACCTGTATCTTAACTGGTCCTATACAGATTTTGGTGTCAGAAAAGACAAAATCAATTCGCAATTGTGGTAAAGAAAGGTTATCTGCCTGGATTTTTTTCAGTTTCAAGTTCTAAGTTCACAGTTCTTACCTATATGACCAAATAGTACTTTATTGCTGCCCCCCACCCTCCCTGAGGCTGAGAAACTAAGCCCCAAATGAGAGTCAATCAAAATTATTACAGATTAATCTTCTAAGGATGGCATAACAGTTGTTGTATATGATACGTAACTTGCTTCGAGGTTCCTTGTTTTTCTTATTGGTTTGATAACATAAGTAAATTGACTAGATGGGATTTGCTTTTTGCATACTACTATTATAATTCTACCAATTAGCAGCTATCTTGAAAGAGAAAATAAATAAATAGATCCCACCAGAATAATACAGATTATGAGGAGATGGATGGATCCTTTCCTATCTGCAGCAATAATACCACAGATCGACAGTTGGTGATTTCTGCTCAGCATTTGTATTGTGAGACCTCACAAGTTTCTATTCTTTCTCTGCTGCTCTTTACTGCTATAGGAAGCCGAGATGATAATTCAGATGTTTATCTGTCAATTCCCCCCCCTCCCTTCATCAGTTTTCAGATAACATTGAACCCTTACTTCTCTTGCAGGAGGCTTTATTGGTATTTGAGATTGAAAACTGTTATTGGCTAGTCTTTGACTTCTGACCACATTTGGGACCTCTTGCTCAGTGTGAACCACACCTGCTTTTACAATCTTTTTTGCCGTGGCCATTGAGTGAATCACTGAGTTCATTAAGAGAAGCAAATTGACTTCCCCCACTGATTTAAAGTTATCAGAAGCCATCAGAAAGTTAAAAATGGTGACCACATGACCCTGGGATGCTGCAACCATCATAAATCCATGTCGCTTGCCAAGGGCCCGAATTTTGATCATGTGACCACAAGAGACACTGTATGACTGTTGTAAGTGTGAGCATAACTCAGTGCTGCAATAACTCTGGTTGCTAAATAAATGGTTGTAAGTTGAGAACTACCTGTATGCAACTACTAACAAAGGTAGAATCCAAGTAACTTAGAAGGTAAACTGCATAGTAAAAAAAGATACATTTTATATTTGCTGATTCCACCAGGGGACAACGAGGAAAAGTTTTAAAATGGAAGCTGGAAACTTTTGAAGAACAAACATAACCTAACATGCTACTGTTAGCTGGCTTTGGCAAATATCTTAGTAAATGCTCTCACATCGTGACATCTGTCTCAACAATTGTCTCTTTAACTTAAAGATAAAGTCCAATGATTATTCAGATTTAAATAATCCCGACTACGGTAATGATACAAGAGAATAGCACTCAGTATTTAGGTTTTATAGATAGAAATCACATATGCTTTGCCATGTGTAAGTACAGGAAGCCTGTAAAATATGGGTCGGGAAGCTTGTCAGGGATTTGAAGCCACTGTACTGTACTATAATATTACTATGTTCCTATATGGAGACCCAGTTTGGTGTAGTGGATAAGGCACCAGGCTAGAAACTGTTACAGTATTAAGGTTTCACACACACATACACCACAAAACTACCACTTCTGCTGTGGGTTCTACAGCTTATATTTACCTGCTTATTGGCTAGAATCATTACTGGCAATGTAGAATTATTCTGGACCAACTGATGAAGAAGTGTTTTTGCAACTGGGAAACGTTCGTGATCTGCTGAGTCTACAACATAGATCAGTAGCAGGACTCTCGGCATATACATCTTCCAATACTCTCTTAAAGACTCACTGCCCCCAACTGTAAATCAGTAATATAGGAAAACAATCAGCAATTATCAATTAAAACTCCCATCAGCATAGTAAAACTTTCAATAGGAGGCAGCTGCATTTCAAACCCATTTCACGGAAATGCTGAAGTACATGATAGAAAATTATCGTGCATAATTCAAAATATAGCAGAAAAACACTTAAGTTGAAAGTACATACATTCAACTGGAATTAAGATATAGAATAAAAAAATGATAATATGAGGTCTATTTAATGACCAACAGATGGGATGGATCTTATGACACAGCAGTTTTTAAACTGTGTGTGTTTGTGTGTGTGTATAAAAATAAGACCTTGTTGTTTGACCCAAATCATATTCTTCCAAACCTTTTCCTTCATTCCATAGGTTAACTTTTTAAAAGTGAAAACCTAAGTGTAGGAATCAAGACCCAACAGGATATAATCTAATGAGTTTTATAATACCTATCTTCATTAGAATGCCTTTATTGTAATAATTATACAAGGATAACATTTTAAAGTATTCCTAGTATTTTATCTCAATGAGGAAAATAGATAAAATTTTACTAACTATACTGTATTGGCTTATATAAAGCAGTAATATTGGAAACAAAACTTTAACATACCAGTATTTTATCAGGGAAATGGGAGGGGGACATTTTTACAGCACTGTTTTGTTGAGAAGACATATAAATAGATGATTTTTTAAAATGTTTCCTTATAAGATAGATATGCTTACTTTCCAGGAATTCCATCTTTGTTTCTTCTGTGTTTACACACACTGCATTGAAACCTTTGGTGGGAACTGTGTTGCGCTTTACGTGGTTAGTTGCTAGTGAATAGAGAACACTGGTTTTTCCAGCCCCATCTAAGCCTAGAACCAAGATTTGCTTGTTAGATGGTTTATCCTACAAAATAGAAGATGAAACAATTATCAGAAAAGACAGATACAATAAAAGTAAAGCTTGTATGATTGTTTTAAATTTAGTAGACATTTGAACAAATAAAATAATGGAATTATGAGTGAAATCAGTGATAGGATTCAACATTTTTTACTACTGGTTCTGTGGGCATGGCTTGGTGTGCATGACAGGGGAAGGATACTGTAAAATCTCCATTCTCGCCCCACTCCAGGGGAAGAATACTGCAAAATCCCCTTCCCTCCCCATCCCACTAACTTGCTTTCCAGTTCCGTTCTCCTGTGCAGGGCAACAAAAGAAGACCCAGCCGATCAGCTGGAACTCAGGAGGCAGAGAATAGATAGATGGGTATGGGGCCAGTCAGAGATGGAATTCTGAACTATTCAAAATTTCTGCTACCAGTTCTCCGAATTACTCAAAAATTTCCCCTACCGGTTCTCCAGAACTGGGTGGAACCTGCTGAGTACCACCTCTGAGTGAAACCAATATGGTCAACTTTATTTACTAATAAATGACCATACACATTATGCCAACCAGACATAAATTGGGTTAGATTTCCAGGTCAGCATAGTTACATTATTCAATGTAAGTACTGTACCTATCAAATGGTTTAATTAGATTTATTTTGGCTAATTCAGCATAAAATTGTTACAAGTGACAAAAGGTGCTTAGAAACTGAAATGGCTAATTTTCCAAATGTTGTTATAGCAATTGTTGAATGCTAGTACACTGTTTCTTATCTTAATTGGATTAGCTGAGTGGGTTGACAGATATTTAAGAGTTCTCAGCAGACAAGTAAAAGCAGAAAAGTTCTCCTAGAAATCTGCCCATTAGAAAACTACAGAAAGGGATTATAATTGCAGACAAGCCTATAAACAGCTATCCAAAATATGCATATTATTATGAAAATTATACTTATATTATCATTTACAGCTGGGATAGGTATCTGGTGATCTTCTACTGGTTACTAAACTGGCAGCCAATATAGCCAAGTCTTCTTGGAGTTGGGCTGCCTTAATAAATCAAACGTATCGTAATAAAAAAACTTATCATAATAAAAAATCCAGGGGGTCAGATGTTTTCCATCCTAAAAAATCATAATGGTTACCAAATCCATCAACAATAACATATCAAAAGAGACAAACCAGTCTTCTCAATCTAAAATCTTTCATATGTCTTTACATCAAAGTCCCATAGACTCCAGCCAATAAATGCAAATATTATAAAGGTATGCAGAATGGATGTGCAAAATATACTAGGATGTTGGAAAGGCAACTGAACCTAAAAAGGCCTCCTTCATTAATTTGCCTCCGTGGCATGTACCAACCAACAAGATAACAGATTTTTGCATTTCCCTCTATCAATAGGAATAGCAGATATTGATAGATATCTATCAGCAGATACAGAAAGTTGTGTGTCCCCCCGCCCCCAATCTCTATAGCAGAGGTCTCCAAACTTGGCAACTTTAAGACTTGTGGACTTCAACTCCCAGAATTCTCCAGCCAGCAAAATACCTGGCTGGAGAATTCTGGGAGTTGAAGTCCACAAGTCTTAAAGTTGCCAAGTTTGGAGACCCCTGCTCTATAGTAAAGCCAGATTCAAAATAGTAGTAGAGACAGGAATGACGGCAAGCCAAGTTACCTAGAGTTACTTGTGAACAAAACTGGGCTGGTTTACATGCAAATACAAAATTATTTGTCAATTATTACAGAACATGTGATAAAACCACACAAAGAAGAAAAAAGTAAAACCATTCTTTAAACAACTGAACGATGCCAGGTGGAAAAGTCCTGTTGATTTGGTCTAGGACACGTGTCAAATTCACCGCGTCACGTTGCCATCATGTGACATATCTATCCTGGTCTAGGACTATTAAAAATCTCAATCTAGCTTCTACTGTATCTATTTCTGAGCTACAGCTGAGAATTGGTTAATTTTTAGGTAGAAAGGAGGCACTGATAGTCTTGAATTGATAACAAAGCATTCAGCACTTGTCATGTTATTAAAATTATTAAATTAACAAATTTCTTGTTCAAAAGAATGGGGGATTCAATTTATAATTCCTTTTTAGGAAGATTCAGTTTAATTATTTAAATAACAATTTACTACCCTGTTTCTCCAACAATACGGCCTCCCCCAATAGGAAATCCCAGCATGTTTTATAGGCATGAAATGAAATTAAGCCCCTCCCCCCAAATTAAGGCCTATATTAAAACATGCGAAATGGGGGGGAATGGTGGTGGTGGGGGCTTGCTGTTAGGAAATACTTTTGTTGCACACCTGGATATGGTGCTGCCTGCGTTGACCCCGATACGAAGTGCCCCACCAACGCCAAGGTCAACATCCAAGCCGTCACTGCCCGTCCGCCCAAAGATGCAAGGGGGGGAATTAAGTCACCCCCGAAAAGACAGCCTAGCCATTTTTTCGGGGCTCAAAAAAAAATAAGACCCAGCCTTATTATATGAGAAACACAGTAGTCTAGAAAATTATGTCATTAATTCTAGCAAAAGTGTACTCTTGTTGATGGTTGTATCTCAATATACACACGATATTTTATGAAAGATGTAAATTCATTTAGCAATAGCACTTACTTATATATTGCTTCCCAGTGCTTTACAACCCTCTCTAAGCGGTTTACAGAGCCAGCATATTGCCCCCGACAATCTCGATCCTCATTTTACCAACCTCAGAAAGATGGTAGGCTGAGTCAACCTTGAGTCTGTTAAGAATCGAACTGCCAGCAGCTGGTGATCAGCAGAAGTAGCCTGCAGTACAGCGCCACCATGGCTCTTTAGGCAGAATTCATTTAATGAATTTTCATTTTAAAAATAAATAATCTGACAGCTAGTTTGATCTTGTGGTTAAAGCATCAGGTTTGAAACAGGGAGATTGTGAGTTCTAGTCCTGCCTTAGGTACGAAAGCCAGCTGGGTGATTTTGAGCCACTCACTATCTCTCTCAGCCCAGTTCACCTCACAGGGTTGTTGATGTTATGGGGAAAACAGGATGTAAAAGTATTAGATATGTTTGCTACTTTGAGTTATTTATAAAAATAATAAAGATGGGAAATAAATAAAATCTAGAACAGTTCAGAACTGAACTAATTCCAGTTCAATTGCAGCAGTTCTTGCAGATGTTTGGGGATTTTTTTGCTATTATATGCATAAAACCCCCCACTAATTACCAGCTTTTAAATTGTGCTTATAGTCTTGTTTTTCTATTTTTGACAGGATAACTATGTACTTTTCCCACCCAAAGGATCAATTAAGATTCCTTAGAAGTTAACAATTGTTTTATTATTTTTATCCTGCCTTTATTAACACACGCACATAAATAAGATCAGCATAAAATAGCATAAAATTGTTTAGAAAGCATAGCAGTTTGAAAGCATGCAAATACAAGTAGATAAACAGGTACCACATCAGTGGGAAAATAACAATGCCCCATGACATCATGCTGGCCAATGACCACAGAAATGTCTTTGGACAGTGCTGACTCAATGATCTTGAAACAGAGATGAGCATTGCCCTGATAGTTGGCAACGACTAGTGCAGTGATGGCTAATCTTTTCGTCATCGTGTGCTGAAAGTGTGTGCATGTGTGACTGCACCCATAATGCAATGCACGCGCAACCCCCCGCCCCTGCGCATGCACGTGTAACCCCATACACGCACCGTGCGCCTCTGCATATGCATGCGCAACCCCGCCCCTGCCCGCTGCACATCATATACCCAACAATCAGCTGGCTGGCAGGAGGCACATGCGCATGTGCAGTGGACCTGATCTGGGGCGACGGCTTGTGTGCCAGCAGAGATGGCTCTGCGTGCCACTTCTGGCACGCGTGCCATAGGTTCGCCATCACGGGACTAGTGGAATAAAATCCGCATGAGCTCCTTTACTTTTTACCTTTTATTATAACAATAAGGGACTTGATCTCATTAATCTGTCTGCTAGAACAATACAATTTTACTCATATAACTGTGAATTAAGAGACTCAAAAAAATGAAAAGTCTGACTTTAAATGGACAAAAATGCTTGGGTTGTTAAAAATACTTTAAACTAGTACTGGAGTATTGTTCATATGATGCTTTTTAATTGCACAATATGTGTGATAAATGATGATATAGCTACTAAGCTTAATCTTCTGGAGTTTTATTTCATTAGGACAGATCTTGAATATTTCTAAGAACATTAATTACTAAGTAAGTGAAGAAAAATACATGGGTACACAACAGCAATGAAACAAACAATTCCAAATGGCTCACTACCAAGTTGCTCTGGCATTCAAATTGCTAAGATACCAAAGGAGGGCTAGTCCTCTGGAAGGTTTCTATTCTTGTCTCTTTCCACTCTGCATTAATAGGATTCTACCTGACTGATTTTATCTAAGCCTTTGATGATCTCAAAGAGATAAATACATCTGTAAAGTTAAGATCTATGCCTACCTTCAGATAATTTAAAAAGTACCAGGAGCTTACAAATTCTGGAGTTACAGTCTTGGCCACTTTTCTATTATTGTTGGATTCTGTTTGCAAATTGTTTGGGGTTTGCCCCAGACATTGGAAACAACAAAAATCTTCCACCAAGCATGGTCATATCACTTTGTTTTTCAGTGATACTCTTGTTTGCAGGCTTGATTACAACTGACTGTATTTGAAGATTTTTTTTTCTGAATAAGGAGCTATTTAAAAGTTATATATCAACTAGTAGTTTTTCTACTCTAAATAAGTAACTTAGCTTTTGGAACAAATACTTTGAGGAAGAAATGTTCCCATTGGGAACAATTAACGGGAAACCAGAGTTGAAATGTAACCTCTTGCCATAGTTTTCAACACCTGTTCTTCTAATGCTGGACCTACCTTGCAGACACCCTGAACACCAATTCTCCTGTTAGGGTAGTGATATATTGGCAGGTTTAAACTAAGTCCCCAATTAATCTAATTAATTAAAATTTAAATGAATTTAATCTATTTTTTTATAATCCCCCAATATTATCTATCTTAAAATCCTTACAAATTATACCTTACAAAATTATGCTTTACAAAAACTTCTATGGATTATTTGCTTCGAGTGACTGTTGGAACCAAAATCAAAGGGACAGATTTTAAGCGGGTGGGATAAAGCAAGATTTGTTTCCATTCTTCTTCTTTTATAACCTCCCATCAGCAGTGTGGTCTGATCCCACCTGTGCTTACTCAGGAGCAAATGTTTTGACTTCCTGGATGCCGACTCTCCCAAATTTCAACCCAGCACATAATTTTAAACCATCTGCTGCTGCTGCTGCTGCTACTACTACTACTATAAAAACACACACACGCACACTTTTGTAAGGTTTTCCAGAAAGCAGATGTTGAACTAGTTTTGTTTCCGCGGCACGATTGGTGCATAAGCGCACCAATCGTGCCTACCGTCCCTGTCCTATTGTTTTTTATTTTTCTTACAAGTATCTATCTCGTGTATTCAAAATTAATATTTATTCTTATACCTGTATCTTGTAAGCGATTGACAAATCAAATAAATACTAAAAAAATACTAAATGCTTTCCTCTTTCCGCCCAGAACAGTATATTGAGATTAGGAAACAATATCCCAGAAACACGGTTCCCACCAGAACCATTCTTCCTTAACTCCATTTGTGGAGAAAAAGAGAGCAGCAGCAAACACTTTGCAGACATTTAAAAAAAAAAAAAATTTTTTTTTACAAGTAATTAGAGTTTTACCCGTTCGACTTCTCCTGAAAAAGAACCGTGCCTAAATGCACGGGGCTCTACTTGCAGCCTTGGAAGTTAATTCCCACGCGTTCACTACCTGTGCCGCCGGCGGGCCTGTGTCCCCTTCTTGCACCCCGAGCCGGAGCCGAGACTGCTGATCTTCGCGTCCCGGAGGCTCTTGGGAGGATTGGTAATTGCGCCAAAGAGCGTAGGCGACCCCACCGGTGACGGCAACCGCAGTGCCCACGAAGGCGAATTGCCTCAGGCTGCCCGCCATGACCCCTCCCTCCCCCGAAGAAAAGAGCTCGGGCGGGACGGGACGCAACAAGATCGGCGACGTTTCCTTCGCTCCCTCACCCCGGTGCTGAGGCGGAGGCCGATTCCAAGGCCCGCCCCTTCTCGTTGGAGCTCCGCGCCCGCAACAGCCTGTGCCGGAAGGAAAGTGCCTGCGGTTCCTTTCAAGCGGACGAGTCTTAGTATTGTGTCAACGGGCGTGTTGGAATTGGGGCCTAAAGCTCTCTGCTCATTTACGGAGCAGTTATTTTCGCAGAAGCAAGCGAGAGGGATTAGTGATACAATCTCTCTGATGCTCTGGGCAGCCAAGGAAAAGATTACTTGGGCAAGACATGGCGTTTGGCTTCCAGTCTCTGCACTAATATGCAGTTTCCTTTCCCCCCACTTCTTGGGCAAGGAATGGCTTTACGACTTCATTCATGAGTTCCAGCAATGCTGTCCTCCGAGCCCGAATGTAGGCTCTTTTCTGAATACATTCAGTGTATATTTTATACCCACCAAGAAGAAGCCATTAACCAATTAGACTTTTAAAAACTTTAAGTACTTCTACAACATTCATCTTTTTTATTTATGACATAGCAATTGCAAGATGCATTGGTGTTTTAAAAACCTATTTCTTCTGCCCCTCCCCCTCCCAATTTTTTTTTACATTTTTTTTTGTTTGGAACTTGCCAAGAGCTACACGTTGTTGTAAACTGAATGGTTTACCTTATTCAAACATAATTCAACTACAGGTCACCCTCAACTTACAACAATTCATTTAGTGACTGTTCAAAGTTACGACTACTCAAAAAAGTGACATAAGACCATTTTTCACACTTATGACCGGCACAGCATTCACATGGTCATGTGATTTACATTTGGATGCTTGGCAACTGGTTTATATTTATGATGGTTGCAGTGTCCAGGGAAGATGTGATCATCTTTTGCAAACTTTTGACAAAGTCAATGGAGAAGCCAGATTCACTTAACAACCATGTTATTAACTTAACAGCTGTAATGATTCACTTAACAAATGTGGTGTTACTGTTTAATAAAATGGGAGCTTCAAATATTAACAAAAATTAGGAAAGTGCACAAAAAAAGTTTTGTTTTGTACATAGAACAGGAGAGTCCCAGTCCAAGAAAGATAACACCGGTAGGGTCTTTCTGGTGCCTCCCACCCAGGAACAGACTACCGCCCACAATTTAAACTCAGTACTAAACCCAACCTAGTAGTAAATTGCTATCTTTCCACAAAGCAGTCAAAATGGAATGGAACTATTAAAATAAAGCACTATTTTAATGGTATTTACAGTAACTCAATTCCCTTCTTAGCATTCAGTCTCCATTTAGTTAAATGTCTCCTTGAAATGTTAGTTAATTCAAAAATCAATAATGCCCCCAGCAATTGATTCTAATAACAAAAACAAGCTTTCTCTATGAAACAAAATTTAGAGACCAAACACAATTTTGAAAAATTCACCATGTTTTTGTTTGATCTTTATTATGATCATAGTTGTCATAACAAGAAAAAAATATATAGCAATTTCAGTTGCTTGTCCTGATCACCAGCCTCCCTTTCCACCTTTCTTTTTTTTCTGTTGCTGTTTCTTTTTTGTTGCTGCTGCACCAGGAGGCTTTTGGTGCCTGGGTGGTATCATGTTGCTTGTTGATGCAGATGGAACAGCTGTTACAGTGCCAGGCCGTGGAGATGTAGGTGGGCTACTAGCAGTTTTACTAGCATCCCTGCAAAAAAAAGAATATAACTTGATTTTTAGTTTATAGGCAATGAACAGATCAAAACACATTACATGTAAATAAATTACAGTATTCACATATTTAAGATAGATAAACTACATATGAATTCTAACTTGCTTGCAAAGAACTGAAGTGGCCATTGAAAATGGCTTTGGAGGACAGTTGGAAAAACTGCTACCAGGGCAACGATCAGACAAGTGGGATCTCAGCCCTTTCCCAAAAGCTAACTTGATAAAACCCTTCAGATAGTCCCCTTCCCCAATTCATACAAAGATAAAATGAAGGAGGAAGCACATTCAGATTTGCAATATTCTGTTACTAAAGCTATTGTAATAAAAGAAGTTTTAGACCAATTTGGCAGTGGTTTTTTTGTCTAGAAAGTTCTGTAAGGCTGACAAGCATTTAAGTAGTATATATGGCTATTTTCCAAGGATTGGTTTCTACATCTACATGAAATTATCTGTCAATTTACCAACTTTGATAATCTGTACTGAGTTCCAAATCTAATCAAAGAACTTCTACACAATTTTGTTATTAAGCTGTATTTATCTCAGAAATATACAGCAATATATAGTTGACTAATAATGCCCACTGAGAAATAGGAAAGTAAACAAGATAGTTGTGATGGTTTGTTTCTTGGTATATCAAATTTCTTACAGATCCTTTGTTTCAAAACCAATTATACAGCAGCTTTGTCACATAATTAGAGGTGACTAAAGATGGAGATTAGTTCAGGATATGATGCTGCCATTCGATGCTACCACAAAGCTTTTCAAAGCCTTTTAAAAAGCAAAATTTCCCATGGAAATCCCCAACTATAAAAGGTAAAAATTGCTATTTCCCCAAATATAGCTACATTCTATCATTCTATATTCTATAAATATAGCTTCCATTCTATCAGATTTGTCCTTTGCCTTTCCTATTCTGATATTGAGAAGGCAAGAAAGATAATCTTCAATTTATGACCATATTGGAATCGGGAATATCTGTCACTATAATCATAAATGAGTTATCTAATGATCAGACCTAATTTTATGAGCATTTTTAACATGGTTCTTAAATGAATCACATGGTTATTATGTAAATCATGCAGTTAAGTGAATCCGGCTTCTCCAATTGAATTTGCTTGAATTTGTCACATGACCCTGGTGGTTGTACGCCAGTTTTAACTTTAAGAACAGATCATAAGTCACTTTTTTTGAGGCCATCATAACATTGAACCATCATTAAACAAAAAGTTTTGAGTCTGGGAAGGTAAAGGTTTTCCCCTGTCCAGTTGTGTCCAACTCTAGGGGGTGGTTCTCATCTCTGTTTCTTAGCCAAGGAAGCCAACATTGTCCAAAGACATTTCTGTGGTCATGTAGTCAACATAACTATATGACGAGGCGTACGATACCCTGTTACTTTCCTGCCAAAGTGGTACATATTTATCTACTCGCATTTGCATATTTTCAGACTGTTAAGTGGGCAGTCCAGGACTACCTGTACCCAAACTTAGAAAAGCCTCATCTGTTTCACTATGGGACAAAACAGAAAGCCATATTAAATTGTTTTAAACTGCCAACATCATCTCTTTGAGCACTTCTGATCACAAAATGTCAATGAACTTAACAGCAACACTCTTGCCCCACATTCTGCTTTTCCAAGGACAATAGAAAGCAATTTCTGGACAGCATTAAAGATAAAATACTCAGAGAACATCTGCAGAAAGATATATGTAAGCATATTGTGTACAGAAGTAGCCATACAGTAAACCTATGCAGGCAATTTAAGTAATTCAAGAAGTAATTCAGAACAGAACATTGTTGTTTTATTAGGTACTTTCCCCCTTTTTACAGCATGAAATCCTCGCCTTTCCTTTTCTCAATCCATTGCATATAACTGTAATTAATTATATGCTAACTAAATGCAACTATGTATCTAATATAAGATTATTTCTCATTCTTGGCCAATGTGCTTATTTATCAAGGCAAAGAATTACCATCTTTTGTCTATCCTTGAAATATTTAACCTTTCATCCTTACAGGTAATCCTCAAATTACGACCGCAACTGAGCTCAAAATTTCCACTGCTAAGCAAAACAGTTAAGTGAATTTTGCCACATTTTACAACCTTTCTTGCCACAGTTATTAACTGAATCATTGCAGTTGTTATGTTAGTAATACGGTTGTTAAGTGAATCTGGCTTCCAATTGCTAAGTGGTCATAAGTATAAAAAACAGACATAAGCCACTTTTTTCAGTGCTGTTGTAACTTTGAATGGTCACTAAACAAATGTTTGTAAGTTAAGGACTACCTGTATCAGTTCTTGAGCAGCAGTAGGCCCAAAATTGAAGTCCACAAGTTTAGATAACTAGTTACTCACAATTCAGAGGAAGCTGCCGTCATCGCTCCTTGAGTTCCTTTCCCAATTTGGTCCTTCTTCTTGCCTTTCTTTCTCCCACGATAGTAAGTGCGTTCTCGCATTGGAAGCCACCGTTCAGGATCAGGTGTCATTTTAGGATCATAATTCTTTGGCAGTTTTCCTACATAGTATTTGGAATAGAATGATTACTTGTATGCTCTGTTTGAGAATAGCTGCATTGTAAAACTCATATAACCCAAAAATGTATTCCACTGCGAAACTCATATAACCCAAAAGTTTTATGTATAGGACAATGACTTTTGTAGGCTCTATACCTTTTCTTAATTTCTTTTTGCAGTAATACAATACCTCCCCAACTAACATACTATGCAAAGATAAAACTCTGGCTTGTAAAAATTGGATTTGTTTCAAGCATGGCAAGTCTTTTAAAAAGTTTAGAAGATGCATTAAAAAAACTACCAAAAATCTATCTAAACTTCCATTCAGTTGTGACTAAACAATTGCTTTTGGGAAGCAAGATAGCAGGTCTTCCTTGTTTCATCCAGCAATTAGGTATCAGAAATTTATTACATTCTAAATAATAATTTAGTCATAGAGGCTACATCTAATTCTGCATTATAAAATCAAATCAAATCTACATTTTTAAATTTAGCCGGGAGGTGTTTAGGTCTTATTAGCCAAGTCCCCAAACATATTTTTGCAACAAGCTAGTTCTGTAGCAATAAGACACTCACCCTTCTTCTTCTTCTTCTTTTTCTTAACATCCCCTTGTCTAAAAAAAAAAAGCAAGAAAATGTTTGAAATGAAGTGCATCAGAAGAGTTGAAGTTAATGGTTGCGAAATAAGAATTTTAGGACTTTGATTTAGAATTAAAAAGGGAGAAAGAGAAATATATAACCAGTGTATTTGTTTTGTTTATGGAACTGGTCTTCTCCATATCCCCTTTGCTTGAGATTATAATTCATTTTATAATCATTTTAGAAAGCTTATTTACCCTTACCCTTGTTCTTTTT